GTGTACATCATAATATTTGGTATACCTGTTGGTATATAACAATAGGTTGCTTGTGTAATAAAATAGCAGCTATACTTGTGTTAATATGCTACAAAGGGATCATTTGTATATAGCAAAAGATCATAACAATTTGAGATAAGTATCGAAAATGTTTGTGTCAAGCAAGCATGTGAACTTTTGCACTTTTGAAAAAATGTGAAATATGCATTGAATTCCGCAGAAGCTTGTATCATTTTAAAAAGTCTGTTTGATGTGAAAATTGGTCAGACAGAAATGACGTGACTGTGACCGATTTCTTAAGTCTTTGACAAGTTGTTTTCAACTCATATCTCAAGAGTTGACACGTCTAAGACAGAAAAAAAATACAAAAACTACAACTTTCTCTCCAATATAGGAGTTGTTAGAACTAAGACAATACAACCTCTATTTTTGCATCCCACTATTGACACAGGAAGTTTTCTTTTGAGTCCATACAAATTTGATATTTTGAATATTTAGCACACTACACGCGCTCTTGCTATACAAATAACCTTATGTCTAAATGACTGCTTACAGGCCCAAAGTAACAATACCTTTCCGCTGAAAGAGAAACAATCTAATATATTCAATTATTTATCCGATATTGGCACTGACGTTCGGGGCGAGTTGATGACGTCAGATCGAGCATTCCATACGTTTGTAAAAATGTCGTAAGTGAGTTGCGAATGATAAAGGAGCTTTTGAAAATTTTTTTCTATATTCTTTCTTCGACCTCTGAGTTTTCCATGATTGTGCAAAATGAAGGTTTTGTTATCCGATTAAACTACTGTCGTTTTAAACAGATAGACAAGCAATTAATTAAAAAAATCGTTTTTAATCTATTTTCAGCATCGCTTCAGTTGTCAGTTACTAAGGTGAAAACCAGAAAAGGATCCTATTGTGTAAAGTTTTCAGAATTACTTGAACCAAATATCAATTTAACAATAAATAAATGGATTTAAAGTTATGCAATAGCTAAGTCATAGTTATGAAAAGCATGCATACCCTGCGTATGCAAGGTGGTCATGCAAAGTCGTCTATTCGGTTTCCAAACACGGAATGTTTTGATGGAAAATTGAAGGCACTGTTAAAACGACAGCGGAGACGTCAGATTTGAAAGCAAGGAATATGCGATTTTAGGACGTTACAAACAAAGAATCGGGTATTGCGGGTATAATACCTCAAAACGCATGGCGTGTCTTAAAGTGAGTTACAAATTTTTGAAAAAGAAAACAAAATAAAAAGGGAGGATGAAAATATCTTTATTAGTGTTGCTAGGCTACATTATCCTTAAAATCAGACTCAATATCATGTACATGGACTTCTGCACAGGAGGGACAGAACTGTGGAGAGGCAAGTTATATTACTGGTACACATGTCTGTAGTCTGTAAGATATCAGTACACGGCGAGCAGTATTCATAGAAAAACCACAATAATCACAAATTAATGTTTAAACTGTTCGAGGCCAATCTTGTTCCTGAAATGGCTGCCTTGTTTTTCTCCAGTTTTATTTTTTGTTTGTTGAAAAGAAGATCTTATCAAAAGTGGTAACAAAGACCTTACCATTCTTCAAATCGTGACATGACATGCTGATGACGTCTTTCTTAAAGGCATATACCCACCAGAGTTGTAAATCACGGACGCAAAATATTCTTCAATCTCGGCTAAACCACAATATCTGCCTACAACGCTGCCAACAGCAATATCTTTCCACTAAGCCATATAATTTTGATTTTTTTCGCTGTTGTAAAGTTTCAGTCTCTGAAAAGTCCAAATCTCACTTCCCAACTTCTGACAAGTGACTAATAATCTTACAAAACAGGGTTTCGAGAAATGCAGGTCGTCATCGTAATCTAATTGAGAAATATTCTGTTTCCTTGTTCGTATGTAGTTATATGTGTTTGTTAGTATTACACGTATTTCATTGTTATAAAACAGACTCTCTTTACTATTACGTGGATTGACCAAGATTTCATGGTAGGCGCAGAAAACGCTTACTTATCAGGAACGCCTGGTCTTCTTACACTTCCAGTTTATGAAGTGTAGTCGTGACTTTTTCTTCATATTTGCCCTCGCTCTGTCGATCTTGAGTGTCATTTTGCTTTGTTACTTTCGGAATTTCTTGTAAAATTTTATTAAGTCGCTTGTTGAGTTCCACAGCTTCGGAGTGACTATACATTATATGAACCATGGTATATCCAAACACCTTAAAGCTTACACGTGTAAGGGTCAAAGAAAGATGGTCCGCTCGCTTTGTTGATACTGATTATCTCGTCGATATCTGGATCGTTGTAAGCCAGCTCGTGTCTATAACGGTTTTAGTAAGGGTATATAGCTGTGTTGTGCCATTGAATAGAGGTCTGTTCCTATTTCATTGGGTTTTCTTTCCAGAGTGACTCCCTATGTCGTATATTTGCAAACTCCCCCTTTTCCTCTCTCAAATTATCGTTATTACTGCTTGGTCAATAGAAGCTTTGTAATTGAGTAGAACTCATTTCAATAAGTAGATAACGTAATTAGTATGAAGCCATACAAACTAAGTATTTCGCTAGGGTTGACAGTGAACTTCGGCCGAGCCAGCCATCATGAGGTTACAGAGAAAACCAATCTCTGTCATTTATGTTGTTAATGTCTGATTTAAACGATACCTTCTATTCTGGTTTGGTGATCAAAACAGCATGTCGCTGCTGATCAAATCACTTGTAGTAAGTCTGATTATCTCAGCAGTCTTTAAATCTCAAGTTCATTTAAAACCAGCAGTGAATAGCACGCGGTTTAATCAACGATATCGCTAACATGCGGAAAATTGCATGTGTACTATTCAAATCTGAATATCATCGCCTTTGTTGATTACAAAATTATTACATATATGACAATTTAGTATTGTTTGTCTCTAGAAATATGTTCAAGGATATATGACGTGTCCCTTTTTAAACATACATTTAGATGTAGGTCTCATTATGTGCAGCGACAGCGTCACAAAATTTTAGGATATCGATAATTACATATTGAATTGAATTTCGTTTTGATAAGTTAATAAACAGTTAAATTGTTTTCAACAACATAAAAGCCATTGATTTGGTTTAGATATGCAACCCACATATCCGGTTAGATAAGATCTATGTTTTTTTTTATTTTTATGAGTTTTCTTCCTTTTTTGAAAAAAAATGTTTCCCTAATATGTAAAACTTAAACATCTTTAAGATGATAGCTATAACAGAGCCACGATGCGAGTCTCCGAGAGCTGTACTACCCTGGAATGTACAGGTGGGCTAACTAATATCCGACAAACTGGGTGTTCCGGATAAGCAATGACGTGGCAGGGTCGTCGTTTAGTTATCTTCGTGGCACACACGTCTAAGATCCCTCGTACAATCAGGAATTTGCTTTAGTTATCTGAGTTTGTGTTTTATTTCGTCTACATCTTGACTTAAAATATCTAAACATACCTGCAGGTCTAACCTGTAAACGATGTTTTTGGAATGTGTCGTTTAGCCTTTGTATATTCTTCTCTGCAGGGATATTTAGTTAGAGCGTGTTGGTCATTAGTGATATCGACATAGCAAGTATTAACACTTTACAGGGCAACCACTTATGTAATTTTACCCATTTTCTTATACATTGATTTTGATTTGTCTGATTTTGTTTCGTAAGATTTAATTAGTGGTCTGTTGTCCGTCAGTTTTGACAAATAAACACTTCAGTTAACACCTGATATTTTAGGGACATTTAAATGACAAAATTAAAGATCATATGCATTGCTATTGTAGGTCCGACCACGGCATGTGTATTGCGTACAAAGCCTGTTCCATTCTCTAGCTGACTGTAAACTCCGCTACCGAATCAGAACGATCCTTTATCGACCACTATTGTCAATCTCAAAGAGCTTCTAAAGTCAATCGTTTTATCGAATAAGAAATCTCCAATATCTGTCCTCAGTGATCAATGCCAATACACAGGTATAGTTTTACATGAATAGATTTAACGAGTGCCTGAATTACCATCCCCTGATCACGTCTCCGGGAGGTCATGCCCCCTAATAGGGGCTGTGTGGAAGGGAGGTTAACACATGTGTCATTATTACTTATATCTAGTGGGAATCCGGCAACTAATTGGCATGCATGTCTCGCCGTATCGAATGACAGTCTCTCTGAATGTTTATTAGTTACCAATAGAAGCCGGCAGTACAAGATAATGGCTGGTGAACCGTCCCTAGATACATTCGAGCCAAAGTTTTATGTCGTGAAAAAAATATTCAAATTTATTTTTTTTTCTAAATTGAAATATCAAATGAATCATAAATACAGCACTGGGATAGCTCACTCACATATAATCCCTCTGTAAAAAATTATGTAAGGTATATATATTACTTGCTTCCACTCAATCACACTATGTAAGCGTTCAGTTGATGTTATTAATTTATAAGAGAACACCACAAATATCTATGTCCGAAATCCACGCCGGTAATATCATAAAGATTGTACCTCAATTAATTATCGGATAAGTTATAGTGTCATTTTTAGATAAATAGATAAAGATATCGATAAACGAATTAATAAATCAATAGATAAATGAATATACAAACAGATAAATAAATAAATAAATAAGTGAAGTAGAAATTAACTAACTTAATTCTTATACATATAGCATTCCATGTCCTGTATTTTATCTCATATTTTCACACACTAAGTAGTGCGTATATGGAATTAATCCCATTGTGTGAATGTAAAAGATAATATGCATTGATTTGAATATTTTAGGTGGGCTATTATGGTATATACATGTACAGGTATCGAACCCTGCAAGCACTCACATGATCTAGAGCTTCTCTGGTCTACACAAAGCGCCGTTGCGATGGTGCTAAACCTGTGTTGTTCTTCCAACGTAATCATTCACAAACGCTCTCAGGTGAAAAAGGCACAAACGCTAGTAGGAAGGTTACTGGATCGCAGGCTAGTGTTAAGCCCCGCGTAAGGCCTTTTAAACCAGAAAGTTGAGTGAAACGTTTTCAAGTTAACAGCAACATACATCATCATGTGTGGGCAAGCTGGAAGTAAGATAGCCGACAGCAACGAAGAGATCGAAGATGTAGAAGTATTATGGGATATGCTACAAAAAGGGGAAACGAAATCCCTACTGAAGAAACATCTGACAACCGAGGTGTATGAAAAGCTAAAGGACAAGAAAACGTCTTTAGGAGGAACACTAGCTCAATGTATCAATTCAGGTAAGAAAATATGGGATTTAACAATATCTGTACCCAAGGACGAGGACATTTATTGTCGTACATAACGAATAACAGGAAATTGTTTCTGACGTAATAACAATCATTATCCGGATTATATATTCATTACATTTAGATCGATTGTTAATTGTAGCCTGTATTATATATTCTAACTAGAATTCATTGTGGAGAGTTTTATAATTTTATTATTTCATCTTACGGAAACACGAAAACCTTGAACGACATGACCAGCAGTATTACAGGGAAACATGATTATAGTAATTGATCTACAATCGGTTTACAGGTTCATTACGGCGTATTGTAAAGGGCTCCTTCACAGTGGCCCATCAGCATAAATATTGTAATTCCTTAATCCAATGTCGGAGTGGGATTTACGGATTGTAGGTACAGTTGGGCGGTTTTAATGTGAAAATGGACATTGTTAAAGGTCCCACTGATGATATAACAGATAGTGTGACTTCCTATCAAATGTCGGACATTTGATAGGAAGTCACACTATCTGTAATATCATTTGTGATATAGTATGGATTAAGGATTTAAATATCTTTATATCAAGAATTCTTTATTTTAGAAATGTCAAATACTCTTATACAATTATGTATATCGAATTGTTAAAAAGTTGACGAATCCAATTATGGTGATCCTCTGTCGAAGGAAGTCACCATACGTCATCAGGGATTCTTTATTTTGTATAAAATATCTTATTGTATGTAAAAACGTTGTACTGATATCTACCTTCGTATTATTTTCTTAGTTTTTATTTGGATCAGTGTCGTTTGAACGCTTATCCCGATTTTAGAAAACAACACGCGATTTACTTATGAATCAAACATTTAGAGGCTGTTGTAGGATGATCCTTTCATATGTTTCTGACATAAAGCAAACATGCAGTAATTATTAGAAAACACCGGTAATGATTACGACAATTTAATTAGGACAATTAATCAATATCACCCAACCTAACTTTAGCGTTTTAAAACTTGATGAAAACCGACCATCTCATTGACACCAATATCAACAGAGAAGGCAACATTAAAGCCTAGTATTACATGCACATTAAAGGGGTTACAGCCACAGGAAACACTTTTTGTTAATAGAATTTTTACTTTATATAAGCTGATGAAACAGTGAAAGACAATTTTGAAATGACTTCTCATTTCCACTTTGCATGTTAAATGTTTAGCACTTTAAAAACTTAAATGGATGAGAACAATGGATTGAGATACGAACTGCATGACATCATGGAGAGTGCATTTCTATATGAAAATATTCTACCTCCAACATAGATATTTACAGTAAAGTAGTTTATTCATTACTATTGTATGGTAGTTAGATTTATGATATTTACTCAATCGATCCATCATACTATATAATTTCCCTATTTCGATTTTCTATTTACTTTCTTAGTGTACAAACACCAGAGCGAAGTGTCAGTTTTATTATCTGGTTTAATACTCCGGAAGGTAACGACACAGGTGTAGCAAAGTAAACATCTTTATATACTTACCTGGTCACCAGTGTACCACAATGTACAGGTACCCCAATATACTTACCTAGTCACTAGTGTACCACAATGTACAGGTACCCCAATATACTTACCTGGTCACTAGTGTACCACAATGTACAGGTACCCCAATATACTTACCTGGTCACTAGTGTACCACAATGTACAGGTACCCCAATATACTTACCTGGTCACTAGTGTACCACAATGTACAGGTACCCCAATATACTTACCTGGTCACTAGTGTACCACAATGTACAGGTACCCAAATATACTTACCTGGTCACTAGTGTACCACAATGTACAGGTACCCCAATATACTTACCTGGTCACTAGTGTATCACAATGTACAGGTACCCCAATATACTTACCTGGTCACTAGTGTACCACAATGTACAGGTACCCCAATATACTTACCTGGTCACTAGTGTACCACAATGTACAGGTACCCCAATATACTTACCTGGTCACTAGTGTACCACAATGTACAGGTACCCCAATATACTTACCTGGTCACTAGTGTACCACAATGTACAGGTACCCCAATATACTTACCTGGTCACTAGTGTACCACAATGTACAGGTACCCAAATATACTTACCTGGTCACTAGTGTACCACAATGTACAGGTACCCCAACATACTTACCTGGTCACTAGTGTACCACAATCTACAGGTATTTTATCAATATACTTACCTGGTCACTAGTGTACCACAATCTACAGGTATTTTATCAATATACTTACCTGGTCACTAGTGTACCACAATCTACAGGTATTTTATCAATATACTTACCTGGTCACTAGTGTACCACAATCTACGGGTATTTTATCAATATACTTACCTGGTCACTAGTGTACCACAATCTACGGGTATTTTATCAATATACTTACCTGGTCACTAGTGTACCACAATGTACAGGTACCCCAATATACTTACCTGGTCACTAGTGTACCACAATCTACAGGTACCCCAATATACTTACCTGGTCACTAGTGTACCACAATCTACAGGTATTTTATCAATATACTTACCTGGTCACTAGTGTACCACAATCTACAGGTATTTTATCAATATACTTACCTGGTCACTAGTGTACCACAATCTACAGGTATTTTATCAATATACTTACCTGGTCACTAGTGTACCACAAACTTACATGTTTTAAGTGTCACATAGAATTTTTATATTCCGGTGAATAATCTGTTGATGATCTTTTGATTTTTTATTTGTAATTTGCAGGGTGTAAAAACATGCACAGCGGAGTAGGTCTATATGCCTGCGATCCGGAGGCCTACTCCGTGTTTAAAGAATTGTTTGATCCGCTCATCATGGACTATCACAAAATTTCCAAGGTTCAACATCCGAAACCAGACTTCGGAGACGTGGATAATCTTGATTTCAGTGATTTGGACCCATCTGGAGAAGTTATTGTTTCCACCCGAGTTCGAGTTGGGAGAAGTCACGCAGGATATCCTTTCCCGCCAGGATCGAACGAACAGGTAAAACTGGCATAGTAGAGGAGATAAAAAAAAGTCCTCTGAAATATTAATGGAAATATATCAGCGATGTAACGAATATCGTGACGGTATTTCTGTGGACATCACGTCCACTCTCTCGTATGCATGTATATTCACGCAAGAAAGTTATCTGAATTATGATATACCAATGTATATTTGACATTAAATTCACTTATATGGTAATTATCTCAAAACTGATGTTACAAATGACAATAATCTAGTCTGTTTGTGTGTACAGAAGCGTCGCGAGATGGAGGCGAATACAATCAAAGCCCTGGAAAAGTTGGATGGAGAGTTACAGGGCAAGTATTTCTCACTTGAAACGATGAAAAAAGAGGAAGAACAACAACTGGTGGCAGATCACTTCCTCTTCAAGGACGACGACAAGTAAGTGGATAACGAATATTCGGAACAAATCGGGATATCTTTGTAGTGGTTCATTATTTCAATAATTCGTGTCATTTCCTAATGAAACGAAACGACTGTTATTTGAAATTAGTTACGACATATACTTTAGCAGAATCTTAAAACACTTGTGGTACATTATCAGTACACTTGTGGTAGTGGTACATTATCAGTACACTTGTGGAACATTATCAGTACACTTGTGGAACATTATCAGTACACTTGTGGTACATTATCAGTACACTTGTGGTACATTATCAGTACACTTGTGGTACATTATCAGTACACTTGTGGTACATTATCAGTACACTTGTGGTACATTATCAGTACACTTGTGGTACATATATCAGTACACTTGTGGTACATTATCAGTACACTTGTGGTACATTATCAGTACACTTGTGGACATTATCAGTACACTTGTGGTACATTATCAGTACACTTGTGGTACATTATCAGTACATTATCAGTACACTTGTGGTACATTATCAGTACACTTGTGGTACATTATCAGTACACTTGTGGTACATTATCAGTACACTTGTGGAACATTTATCAGTACACTTGTGGTACATTATCAGTACACTTGTGGTACATTATCAGTACACTTGTGGTATATTATCAGTACACTTGTGGTACATTATCAGTACACTTATGGTACATTATCAGTACACTTGTGGAACATTATCAGTACACTTGTGGAACATTTATCAGTACACTTGTGGAACATTTATCAGTACACTTGTGGTACATTATCAGTACACTTGTGGTACATTATCAGTACACTTGTGGTACATTTATCAGTACACTTGTGGAACATTATCAGTACACTTGTGGTACATTTATCAGTACACTTGTGGTACATTATTAGTACACTTGTGGTACATTATCAGTACACTTGTGGTACACTATCAGTACACTTGTGGAACATTTATCAGTACACTTGTGGTACATTATCAGTACACTTGTGGTACATTATCAGTACACTTGTGGAACATTATCAGTACACTTGTGGAACATTTATCAGTACACTTGTGGTACATTATCAGTACACTTGTGGTACATTATCAGTACACTTGTGGTACATTTATCAGTACACTTGTGGAACATTTATCAGTACACTTGTGGAACATTATCAGTACACTTGTGGTACATTATCAGTACACTTGTGGTACATTATCAGTACACTTGTGGTACATTTATCAGTACACTTGTGGAACATTATCAGTACACTTGTGGTACATTATCAGTACACTTGTGGTACATTATCAGTACACTTGTGGTACCAGTACACTTGTGGTACATTATCACAACACTTGTCAGTCTGTGGTTCTTTATAGTTTCCGGATAATACAGCTGTGTTTTGTCTTAATTATTATTTTGTTCCACAGATGTCTCCGATCAGCATGTGGCTACAACGACTGGCCAGCTGGCCGTGGAATCTACTTCAGCAACGATAAGAAGTTTCTCGTCTGGATTAACGAAGAGGACCATCTCCGCTTTATCTCTATGCAGAAAGGAGGTAACCTTGCCGAAGTCTGGAAGAGACTTGTTAAGGTGAGAGCTTAAAGTTGTACGAAATGATCAGGGTAGCTCGATATTTGTAATGGTTAGCGCAACATCGTTAAATGAAACAAAATCGGATACATTACAAGGCATAAGTATCATTAATATAAGAGTAGTGGTGTGTAATTGGTTAGTGTCGCATCCGTAATCTAAGAGATAGCATCCGATTGGTCAGTATCACAGCTGTGACATTGTTGATAGGTAAATATGGTTTGTCAATTTCGCAGCTGTGACATTAATGAATTAAGAGATAAAAATAATGTGTCATTAACGCAGCTGGTACATTATTGAGAGAAAATACCTCATGGATCAGTATTGCATCTGTGATCGTATTTGATTTGGCATAATGCCCTTTGATTAGTTAATATGGAATTAATAACATAACAGAAAAAGTATTGGATACGTGTGTACATATAGATTACTTCCGATCACTTACGTCTCTTTAATAGTTTTTTATCGGCATGATTTCAATGAAGCCATAATGAATTAAAAATCCAATGTTATACTGTGTAAATGTGACGATCAGAAATAAAACCGTATTTGAAAAGAATGGTAAGCGATTTGGCATATCACTAAATTAGGCAGATACTGTACCACACGCTTAAAGGGAACTTAGAACTAGTTGACACCGGTAGGAAATATATTGAGATGGAATTTAACTAGACAGTTTAAAATCAATTTGATCTATACACAAGTATTATTTCAGTGTCATGTTTTTGATAATCAATATCTACCCTGATCCGAGCTCTTTATGTAGAAGGAAATGTTAACACGCTTTGCTACTTTCATAGCCTGAATAGGCCCGCAATGGTGACGTCATGTGCCCGGGACTCCCCGTCACCATACTCGCAAATCGATTAATAATCTTTCTGGTTGTTCTTATACAGGCCATTAAAGTGCTCGAGGAGAACCTGACGTTTGCACGGGACGATGGCCATGGCTACCTCACGTTCTGTCCTACCAATCTTGGCACTACGTGCAGGGCTAGTGTCCACATCAAAGTGCCGAAGTTGTCCAAAGCTCCACGTGAAAATGGGGAACCGGGATCTCGTCTGGATGAAGTGTGTGAAAAGTTCAATCTTCAGCCAAGAGGTAAGGATTGAAACCATAAGTCCCTAAAAATCACGTGAATCAATAAATCAATATTTCTATCTCCTCCCTACTGTCGGTGCTATCAAGTTAAAGCAATATGATGTCAATGCTTGGAATGGTACAGAGAGTGGTCCATAGTGGCCCATGTGTGCATTCGAGATCAATCTATACTTAAGTTGTCCATCCATGATGTCTTGTTTTGAAGCTGTGTGAGTAATATTGTTTCATGTTTATGTTTTGTTTCAGGTATCCATGGAGAACACACGGAGAGTGTGGGAGGAGTGTATGACATCTCCAACAAGAGGCGAATGGGTCTGACGGAAATTGAGGCTCTCATGGAAATGAAGAACGGTATTTTGGAAATTATGACCATAGAGAAAGAACTGGAATAAGCCATATTGACGCAAATTCACCTTAAAACTGATTTGATTATATATCTGTTATGACGACAACTACTGTTGGCCTTCGTTCTGAATTTCGCCAACAACACGGGGGACATCTAATAACGTTATCTGTGATAGTACTTTCATTCTAATAACATATAAAAATAGAGACAAAGGAAAGAAGAAATTCTCGAAACGGTGTTTGAATACGTGTGTGAACTGGAATTCTAACATCTGACATTAGTAATAGATAATGACTTCGTGATTCTGCCGAAGTTTTGATTGGTATAAACCCAATCTCTCTGTGTACGGAAGCTGAGTGAATATAGATAAAACTCTATGTATTAACATGAAGCCAGTATGGAAGACAGCTGTAAATATTTGTATTCAGTACTATATTATTGTTTGTGTGCGCTAAAGAGACCCGTTGTTGTAAGTTCACGGGTCAGAGGAGCATACGGGGTCCGACTGTGTGTTGTGCTATAAACAAATCTTTTCCTTTACAATGGTGCCAAATGAAAACGTCATTTTAGAAGTAGATTTCACAACATTCCCAACATTACTTTTCACAAAGCATGTTGATGTCATGTGTTACGCTACTGGTGTGATATGGACCAGCACACATAGATAGTCCGCTGGAGAGGAAGCGCACGACTTCCATGCTAATTATGCAGCGAAACAGGAAGTCGGGGTGCGCACGTCTGGATGAATATGGTTTCATGGGCACTGACCGGATGACTTTGATATCTAATATCCATGCATGTTTTTCAACAACAAAACATTGATTTTGTTGTTAATTAGCAGATGATAGATGGCAGTCATTCGTCAGATTGAATAATTAAAAACTGTAAAGTTTAATGAATGGGATTGTTTTTAGAATATGTTGTGTTATATACAACGCTTGAGTTTGAAGAATCCCAATGTTAATCAATATTTGACTAATCCAAAACATATATATCCATCACGTTATATAGTTACAGTGTCAGATACCGGACCTAATCATGCTTATCGCCACCTGGCGAGTAATTGGAGAAATAACTACGTATATCGGAAGTCCCCCCCCCCCCATTCATAAGTTTAATTCTATTACGCAAAGTGTAGATTTATAATCTTAATGGAAATTCAGTCAGATGGATATTTATTTGTAAACAAAGATTTTAAACGATGTTGTGTATCAATAAAGAAATTTGTTTAAATATGACCTGGTTTATTTTCATTTTTTTTTCATTCGTAAGCGATCGTATTCGGAAAAGATATTGATTTTTTTTCGAAATTTAAATGTGCCTGGAAAAAAATCTATATATTATTTAAAATTCATTCTATTGACCTTCGTCCTAACATGTTACATATGATGTGTCTCAGGATACATATCTTATGACTAAAACAGTGATTACACTCAGTATTGATGTGTCTTAGGACATATGTCTTATGACTAAAGCAGTGATTACACTCAGTATTGATGTGTCTTACGATAGATGTCTTATGACAAAAGAAGTTGTCACACTCAGTATTGATGTGTCTTAGGACATATGTCTTATGACTAAAGCAGTGATTACACTCAGTATTGATGTGTCTTACGATAGATGTCTTATGACAAAAGAAGTTGTCACACTCAGTATTGATGTGTCTTAGGACATTTGTCTTATGACTAAAGCATTTGTTACACTCAGTATTGATGTGTCTTAGGACATTTGTCTTATGACTAAAGCAGTTGTTACACTCTGTACTGATGTGTCTTAGGATATTTGTCTTATGACTAAAGCAGTTGTTACACTCTGTACTGATGTGTCTTAGGACATATGCCTAATGACTAAAGCAGTTATTACACTCTGTACTGATGTGTCTTAGTATATATATCTTATGACTAAAGCATTTGTTACACTCAGTATTGATGTGTCTTAGGACATTTGTCTTATGACTAAAGCAGTTGTTACACTCTGTACTGATGTGTCTTAGGATATTTGTCTTATGACTAAAGCAGTTGTTACACTCTGTACTGATGTGTCTTAGGGCATATGTCTTATGGCTAAAGCAGTTGTTACACTCTGTACTGATGTGTCTTAGGATAGATGTCTTATGACTAAAGCAGTTGTTACACTCAGTACTGATGTGTCTTACGATAGATATCTTATGACTAAAGAAGTAGTTACACTCTGTACTGATGTGTCTTACGATAGATATCTTATGACTAAAGAAGTTGTTACATTACATCCAGTTCTAATGTATCCTAAACAAGCAACATGTATTAGCCTGAATTAGGAAGATCATTATACTCAATAACATTGTGACTTAAAGCTTGGATGGATAAATCTGAGTCAGGATTAAGAAATACGCCCAGGACTGACGTGTCTTTGGTTAGTATTGAAGCAAAGATCTGTATACACTTTCTTAACATGTGGTGTGTAACTCCAACATTTAGGTTTTATTGAGGTTCAATGTTACAAGTATACTGTAGCGTAAACCCAAATATGAGGAACAAGCTGAAAACAAACAACACGTGAAAAGCTTCTTTAAGACATTCACACAAGGAAACTCGATTGATGGAATACATATGACCATTTAAACTAAATCTTTGATGAAATGATAAGGATATTCACCCAATAAATCTTAATGAGATTAGTGTCCTTGATTGTTAAGGACGGTATATCGGCTAGCGTGTTTTATGTTATCGAGTTATCTATGATAAAGGCTCGCTATAGATGTACTGTCAGAGCTTTGTATCACATTAGCACTGTCACAATGCGATCGTCAATGGTTACGTTAGTGTAAAGGTTCCGGAAGAATGAAATTGACGGACTCGTGTTTTAGAATAAAAGATGCACTTTGACCCTTGTTGAGATAGCGTCGTTAGGTAGGCTAATACACTACATACTTTACACTATTTGATATTGAGACACACACGAGGACCACTACAACTAACCTTGAACAGTAGTCTACATTCGGACATTCTGTACGCATACATTTCACTATGACGGTATAGAATAATTAATCATTACAAACTGCAGTATCATATATTGCTTTAGTCCCATTTCCGATATTATCTTTTCAACATGTCAAAAGATTTTCCAAAATCATGTATTGAATCACTTTTCACGTCTTAAGCCAAGCAATGTGATAACCGAAAAAAACATCAGAACGGCGGAGCCGACGAAACTCCTGAGCATTAGCCATGTTGAAACTGGTTAAGGATTTAAAAATCAACTGTCTTATATACTCTATCTACATGGCTTAGATTGAACAATTTCTCTAATCAGCTTTGATTAATAATCAGATGATCCAATAAGCTTTGATTAATATTCATATTTTCACACTGCAGGACTTCGATAAATATTCACTATTTATTAATTATTTTATAATTAACTAATAAGGCATCAAACTGTTCATGAAAACAAAGACAATTCTTTAATATACACAAGCTTCGATGCTTGAGTGTAATGTTGGAGTTACTTCTAGGTATGGTTAATTAATTGAAACAAACTATAACCCTCAGGTAAAGAGTTGTGAAAACTACCTGTACCTGTGATATTTTCAAATGTGGGCTCGGTGGGAATAAACCAAAAACCGGTATCACTGTATCATTCAGATAATTGGTAAGTCATTTTAGTCTTTGAATAAAAAAATCTTTCTGTTCTGAGTGTTGTAGAATGATGTCATTGTGAATGCACCGTGAATCATAGGGTCATACTTACATATATACAAATAGTCTTCAAAGTTCATTAACAGCTCGTCATGACGCAATAGCCTCGTAAAGGTCAACATGGTATCAGTACGGCCCGTCACGACACAATAGCCTCGTTCAGGCCAATACGGTATCAGTAACGGACCGTCACGACACAATAGCCTCGAACATGCCAACACTTATCATTTACGGCCCGTCACGAAACAATAGCCTCTTACAGTTCAACACAGTATCATTTGCATACGCAGCTATACATTATCTATTTTTTTCTTTACATTATTATCTTCTTTTACTTGCATCAAAGAGTTTTTTCCAATTTCCGTTTTGTCGACAACTTACTGTGAAATCATCACTCAACCATCAAGTCAAATTTAGCTTTGAGTCATTGACAAAAACGATACAGTTAATCCAAACCGTTTTGAAAACTCGGCTCGAAAATTAACCGGTTGTGCTCTCCATTGAGCCTGCAACGGTTGCAAATGTTGCCAACGTCGCTGCAAAATTAAACGTAATACAAAGGGCAACGATACCGGCAGTTCCGGCGACAGAGTACAACGGTAACCTCAGTAATTACATACACGGTTATGTTTTTGATTGTCTGAGTTCATTGATACATAATGCATCATTTCATTTTTTTTCAAATTCATTACCGTAAAAGTTGAGAGCTTGTTTTCAAACAATTAAATACATGAATTAAAAGGTAATGACATCACTGGAAATTTGTTAACATTAACAATTTTTAAAAATTTTTATCCGTACAGTGACGATGTAAATTTTTCATCAGATGGTAACTTCCTATGTTTCATTTACAAGCTGCAACGATTTAACGCCGTATTGAAACCGTCGTGACATCGGATTAAGAGGATTCAGAAACAGCTCGATATACATTTAAAGTTGCGATCCACTGTATTATATAACAGGACAGCGACAAGACGAGTTTGGTTGATATGATGTCATTATTCTTCAATACAGGTAACTTGTGCCATTGTCGGGGGATTATCTGTATTGTATTTGTTTAATGCGACAGCGAGTTAGATTCCAGCGTCGTTAGGTTCTCCACGATCAACACAAACGAAACATTTACTGTCCGGGAGGTCCAATGTAAACCTCAGCAGAGTTCAATATACAGAGCACAGATATCTAAATTACTATGATATTGTTCCGGAGTATATCAAATAAAACTCTGCCGAACAGAGTATTTTTAAATTGATCAGTGCACTGTTCATAACCAGACTAATCAGACATGCGATGCATGTACTTCCCGATTTAGAGACATTCAGTAATTTTCTTTACAGCTGCAGTGTTAATTAGAAACTAAACATGATCTGTCAAGTTCTTTCAGATGTAATTGTCGTGATCGAACTATGGGATATCTTACAAGTTTAAGACACATAATGGTGTACCAGGTCAGGGAAATGATACGACCCGACCGGAAACCTAGTTCCCAAACTCTCTTACCAAATTAACACTTGTTTGCAACAGGGTACCCGAGTTTAAAAAAAAAACAGTTTCTGGTTCACAGCTGTAAGTAAATGGTGTCTTCTGTGAAAGTCTTCGTTAAAGCAAGGGTCTTTTTAAAATGAATTTTACACATAAAACATGTTTGATTTCCAAGCAACCTTATCGAACAAGAGTCATTTTTTTGATAACTGGTATGGACACTTTCTGCAGCCATCTTATTTTGGTAACTGATGATGTCTATTTTAAGATTCGCACATCGCCGTTGTTCGATGGACCTGTGGGGTAATAAGTGACGTGCATGTACATGTGTAGATCAGGGTTTACCCGTGTATGTTTGTGTATCTCACCACGAACAGGCGTATGCCCTTGTAACTTGGTTCAAACAATACCCGAGGTTAACAAATATAAAATTGTCGATATACCGTGCTTGTATTAAAACTTCAATATACGGCTTTAGACGGCACCCACAATGACATGGCACCGTTTATGCAGACTTGCAAATCTTTTCAAAAGAATAAAATAGCGTATTGATAACGAGATTAAAGTATAATGTATAGAATTGATCAATACACATACGTACCAGCATTAGCCAATGAGACGAACTTTTACAGACTGGAATAGTCGACTTCGCCAGCGCGACACCACCTACGTGCCGACCTGCTCCACAAGGATACACCACTGTCAGCAAATTCGTACAGGTAAATTATTTAATTTAATATTAATTCACTTCTAATATATATTTCGGGCCGGTTTTCACTTTTCAAATGTTCCATTTATCCACTAATCGTAAATATTCTGTGAAAAACAATATAATGATATATTTCCAGTCTTCCTTCAAATGTGAAACGTGTGTCCTTGAAATTACAATCTATTGTAAATATTGTAAATGAAAAGTTACTGATACAAACTTTTAATTTCTGATATTGCATTTTAAGCTGTACAAGGTTTACTTTATTGTATGCAACATTTTAATCATTATCTTTTCAAAAATAGACATGCTTATTAGATATAAAATTACTTATGCAGGTATAGCGAAAATAGTCACGTGATTAGATACGACGGCCAGCAGTGGGTTATAAATATTGGGATTTTACCTTTATTTGCTTTGATCAGGAAAACAATCGTCTTTACGTTTCTCGACGTGGTTAAAAATCTGATCAATTCATTTGCAAATGTTTAAGATCACCTAGATATTTGTTCTTGAATATAACCAAAGGATGGCCTTGTACGTGCAACACCTCAAAGTCATTATAATAGAAAGATTTTTACAAATTTCTGGGCTTGTTTCTGCTAAGTCGTAAAATAAGACAGTTACCCGAAGCCTTACACACTATTTTGTAAACATAATAATTTCCAGCTAACTAGATGAACTAGAGAAAGATTGACAGCATATCATTGATCAAGTATCATGTAGACCTAAATCTTTACTAAGCCATCGAGATATTTTCATAAAATTTCAACTTTGAAACTTTGTTTTATTGCCTTTAATTGGCCATTTTATTGTGTGTATAAGCCTTTGTATTGAAAGATGCACATTGAAATTATCTTTTGTTTATTGTTGTCTACATTAGTTAAAATATATTGTCGAAAGTTCACTGAAGCAGATTAAATGCAAGTTACGTAAACGATAGATATCCTTTCCTAAATGGAACAATAGCTTTAAATACATCAGAAGAGTATAGACAATAGCTGACATATATACGTACAAAGTCAGCGACAGAGGCAGACCCATTCATCCAACATAGACATGTAAAGATTGTACAGGCAGATAAACAAACGCTTGGCAGTAAAGACCGACTTATTGATGTAAGATAAGAATGGCCAAAGTACTAGTCATAAACCGGGTATTTAAATGTTTTATTTGATAATCACGTGTGTATATATTTACCCTGAAACTCCGCTGCCACTGTCGGAATACACCTGCAAGATATGTTTAAGCTGATTTCGACAGAAAATAGCTTTTTCATTTAGTACTTTCATAATTTAGTATTTTCATACTACTTTACATTTAAAATTACAAAAAACTTCAAATAAGCGATTTTATTTGTAATAATGAACAAGTTTCCATACAAACATCATTAAATTTATGGACTATAACCGCTGAAAGTTGAAACTTTATTTACGCGAGGAGATTTTTTTTTTGCGTCAAGCGTAACGTCAACATCATGTGATAAAAAGATAAAACAGGAAACTCCTGAGGTTCCGATAGTCTGAATTTTTAAAAAGTGTTAAATAAATGTTGCAGGGTCAATAAAATGCAGGGCCCGTGTCATAGAATGTAAGATGTTGATGACACTACTTTGTCCCTGTGACGCGAGACAAAATACAGCGACTTTTATTTTAGCCATTGTTCATATATTCTCTACCTCGATTCCATGCACCAGTTGGCCGACCATTGACGATAAGTTAGAAAATGCAGTCTGACGGTGCAGATTGTGATGACGTCATAAACAATAGATAATGTTTATTACGTCATCACTTCAGTTTGGAAACCATCCGAATTTTATAGCTGGTCTTATTTGGATGCCCCAGACATTGGTAAAGTACAGTTTAAAAATATATATGTTTATATTACATTTACTATCTGCCGTTGTAGACTGAAACTTTTGTTTGTTTGTTTGTTTGTTACAGTTTTGTTTGCTCAAAGCATAAACAATCATGTCTCAAGATGATCTCTGGAAGAGACTGAAAAATGGTGAATCCGGCTCCTTACTAAAGAAACATTTGAGCGAAAAAATCTACAACGCTGTGAAGGATAAGGTCACTTTCCTAAAGGGCACACTAGCTGACTGCATTAGGTCAGGTAAGGTGGTGGCAATGCTGATTTTTTGGGGATGGTATGATTAAGTAGAATTTACTGTTGCTCCAAAGTTTCTTACTCCAACCACAAATCGGACGCCCTAAGTTTATGTGTGAAAAACAAATTGCATAATTGTGAAACTGCTAAATAGTAAGACTCGTATAGAACGCTCGGGTTCTCTTTCATGACAACTTATTTTTTACAAGCATTTATCGTAACTTTTAACCGGTGTACTTGGTGTTGCCCGCCATACAGCAATTCAAGATCCAGCAGATATCATTATTGGCAACCGTCGATATTGTTGTATTCCTTTGTGACTTACGCGGTTAGACCACATGATACACGAACTGGTATATTGTGTACGTTTGAATATTAAAGAAGTTATTCAAACGATGATCCCAAGGTATTTAAAAGGTGTAAATTCAATGTAAATTATAAGTAAGATGACTACCAATGTGGTAACAGGTAGTATAGATTCAGGGTGGAGATCTATTTAATATAACTGCGTTTACGTAGTAAACTAAAAATTTTGTAGATAGTCAAAAAGTAGAAAAAAAAAACATTTTTTTTCTTGGTATTCACAAAAACATACATTCAGATTTCATTTCCTTCATTGGTTACATGTCGGCAACGCACGTGTCTATAGTTCAGCAATGCGTTTCAACAAGTAGGGGTACCCGAAAAGGAATGCCTCTTATATTTTTTTCTTTCTTTTTTATTTTTTTTTAAAAGCCGACATTATCTTCAATATTTTTTCCATTTTATAAAACTAACTTTCCCATTAATCCCAATCACTTATCTGTCAGAACAAATTTCAGTAATACCTTTCATTGTTTAAAAACATTGTAGAATTTGTATTGTCGCATGACATCATTTTCCGTTTTTTTATAATTTCACTTTTCAAAATTTTAATGAATATGCAACATAGGAGACAAGGACAAAAGTACCTTATTTCCTGTTTAGAATAGTTAATAATTACTTTTATTTGAAAACAAAAAATATGCATCAAATGTTTCAAGTAGCGTCAGGTTACACGTGTATCAGGTGACAATCTTTAGTTATTGGTTGTATTTTGGTTTTAAGGCAGAAAACAAATGTTATATCTCAGCATGATGTAGAGATCACATTCCCCTTTAGCCAAGCAACTTTAGTCCACACGTGCTTGAGATAGAACCGTGGCTAGTTGAAGGTCAAGCGAGGACAGGGCATTCATCTTATTTCTGTACAATGATAAAAGTGATATATATGTTTTGTTGTGTGTTTCAGGATGCAAGAACTTAGAAAGTGGGTGTGGTATTTATGCTTGTGATGCTGAAGCCTACGATGTCTTCGCAGACATTTTTGTCCCAGTCATCAAAGACTATCACAAAGTGAGCGAGATCAGCCACCCCAATCCCAACTTTGGAGACATCGAAAACCTTGGGTTCGGTGACCTTGACCCATCTAAGAAGTACATTATCTCTACACGTGTACGTGTTGGAAGGTCGCTGGCTGGATGCCCATTTCCTCCTACAGCAACACTGAGGGTAGGTCGATTAAGATTGTGGAGGGTTCGGGGTGTTGGTTAACTTGTGAAGACTTCGAAAGCTAATGTTCGAACATAATCATGCATACAACTATTTTCATTTGGCATTCATGAGAACTATGAATGCAATGAAATCAGGATAAAGATTCGCACTTCAAGCTGAATCTTCCTTTATCCAGTTGTTATCCACTATATCCATGAATGCCCATTAATGTCCACTTTTCATAAGGGGAGGCAATCTCTATATGTTTACATCAATTACAAAATCCCTATGACATTGGCAGTGTATATCAGATATAGAATTTCTCCGAAACAGAGGTCACAAATCAGCTGATTTTTTCAGGTCTGACTGAAATGAGCCATACGATAACCTACTCAAATTACGAATGAAATGCTGGAGTCACTCGATATGTCATTATTTTTACCCAGTCTTAAAACCCTTAAAATTAGCCAAAATGTTATGTGATAAAGAAGAGTTAGATTCACTGAAAGGGAGATAACTTGGTAAATTACTACTCTGGTGCTTTGAATACACTTATCTTGAATATGCACAGGTTTATATTATATCGAACTTCGTTTTCAAATATGATTTATTTTCAAATAGCGCGGACATCTGAGATTTTTTGTATCCTGTCCGATATTGATCTTTTTCAGTCGAGGGTTGAAATTCTAAATCGAAGCAATTTGTGGCCGAATTTAAAAATTTGATATAAACACTTAATATATAAAACAAGAATACTTAAGAATTACAAAGCCTTTGAAATGAGAACAACTGTAAATTGTTATGAATGAATTGCTACACAGGACCGAATACAAATGGAAGCTAAGAGCAAGGCAGCGTTAGCGGCCCTGAAGGGAGAACTGAAAGGAACGTACTATCCCCTGTATGGCATGGAGAGAGCCACACAGGATCAGCTCACAATGGATCACTTCCTCTTCAACGACAGTGACAGGTAGTATTGTTTGTGCAAATTGATACGAATATCTTAAAGTTGTGATGTGTCACAAAATTTGAAAAAAATGTAGCTAGTAAAAACACGTGTGGGAGCACGGATATCATTCAGGAATTGTTAATAACAAATCTTCGGTACTTATCTATGTATATCGGGATAACTACCTATCCATTTGAGGTGCTACATAACAATACATATATTTACATTTGATCACCACAAATTCTCACAGATCTTTAAAAAAAAAACAACATATTACACAATAAACATCGTAAGAACAACGGCGAGTTCAACGAACATATACCGAAAGTAGAGTTTGGTGCCACTTGGGCGTCATTGACAACGCGAAGAGCAACAAAATAGTTCCAAGAGCAAATGATTATTTTCATGTTTTTGTTTTACTCTTTGCATTGATTACATCATATAACATTACAATTAGATATATTCACTTTACATTTAAATATAGATAAATACAAGCATTGAGGTCAGTCAACTTCATCTAGAGGAAATGGGCTGCAGACGTAAAGATTACGTATAGATATAACTGTTTAAAAGATATAACGAGTGAGTGACACCGATGATTTACCATTTAAATGGTAAATCATTTTTGTTTCATGTAATACAGTAGGAGTTAATGTTGTCTGTAAATCGAACAGGAATGCGGATTAGACATCCTGAAACGGAGTCATATACATTGTACTCATATCGATAGGTTATCTTACTTGTTTCCTACCGTCAGATTCCTGAGAGACGCCAGTGGATACGACGACTGGCCAGTCGGCAGGGGGATCTTCCACAACCCTAAGAAGACGTTCCTTGTATGGGTGAACGAGGAGGATCATCTCCGACTTATCTCTATGCAGATGGGCGGTGACCTTGCAGCTGTCTACAAACGATTAGTCACGGTACTTGTGATGTATTGAAATATGTCGATATTTTCTATGTAACCAATATAGCAGAAATCTTCTCTGTAAATCGATCTTGTTCAAAAATATTTTCTTTTGTTATAAATTTGAACATTTTCTGAGTTTATGATATTTTTATGAACCGTTGAATTATTGAAATTAATACATTCACATTCAATGCATTAATAGTACACAACATTGCTAACAGTAATCCAAATCGTTGCTGGAATATTTTCCATTGAAAGTTTTATTTATTATGATTGTTAACCCTGCAGGCAGTTGAAGCGTTGGGGAAAACTGAATTGAAGTTTGCCCATCATCACAAGCTGGGATTCCTAACCTTCTGTCCAACGAACTTGGGAACCACGCTCAGAGCCAGTGTTCACATCAGAATCCCCAAGCTTTCCAGCAGCCCCGAATTCAAAGCCTTCTGTGATCGCTATAACCTACAAGCTCGTGGTAAGGTTAAATATAGTTATTATGTTCAACACTTTTGATACCAATCACCTATGCTGAGGCTTTGAAGTGTCATAAAAAAGTTTCTCCTTATTTTCTAAAAATTCCCAGATAAAATTTTATTTTGGATTGCTTTAGATAAAAATGATATATCTCAATCGGTTCGTAAGAGCTAAATAGAAAATCTAGATGAGATTCCGGTTGGAAAGTTTTCACCTGTAATGGATATACATACAATTTAATTCTAATCAGTACCATTATGTGTGGGGATCTATTTAGTTCCCGAGTGATTGGAAAATGTTTTTGCCTGTAGGCATCCATGGAGAACATACAGAGAGTGTAGGAGGAGTGTACGACATTTCCAACAAGAGGAGACTGGGTCTGACCGAGATCGAGGCTGTACAGGAAATGAGAAAAGGCGTTGAGGCTGTGATTGCAGAGGAGCGGAAGTTGGACGGTTCCAGTACACCAGCACCGGTTGGCAGATTCGGACGAAAAGCATAAAAATTGTCCTCATTTCATGATGAGTCTGCAGATATTATGCTGGAACATTGCAAACCGTGTGCAAAAGAGATTTGCTGTAATTGTGCCAATACAGAACGTTTTATATGTATATATTTCCAGTGTGAATGAAATAACTTAGGTCCTCAAAATCTTGTCATTTTGTCGGCGAGCAAGACAATGACGTCAGAGCTTATCTTAATTAAAGTGTTTAAATGTTGTTAAAATAAAATACTGAGCTATGCTTTATTTTTGGCCCCTCCCAGCCCATAAAACACAGAGGGTGATGGGTGGGACAATTAGCAAGACAGGGGGTAACTGAGTGTAACACATTACGAGGAAATGAAGTACGACAGTAGGGAAGAGGTGGTGGATGAGACATTATAGGGAGGTGATGTAAAACTACATGGGACTAAAACTCCATTCATACGACGCGATTTGCATACCTCAGTATATTTTACACATATGTAAATTTACTTACATGTGCAATTTTTATCGGGAAACTGATTTGCTCATATGTAAATTCTGCACAGTTGAGTATATTTGCACCTGATCAGGACTAGGTGCAAATTAACGTTTTGTCACACCATCAACTAGGATTCGTTGTGTGTTAAACATTTTAATTGGTACCCCTGGTTTAGGGATGAAACCACCTCACATCACCGACCGTCGGGTCGTGTCAGTACTTTACATCCGTAGCTATATGTGGCGCCTGGACTCCCGAGGACCCAGCACCCAGGGGTATCCCTAGTTTTATTACTCTACACACTCACTCTCGCACGACTTCCTCACCTGTCACACCTAGACACGTACACGTCTCAAGACAACACCATATAAGGACAGAAAAAAGACATTCTACTGACTTGCCTGGAACACTTACCTACAAAGTGAAAATAACTGTGATTGATTACTTTCCCTGAAATAAAATCATTGAATAAAAATTATTCTCAACCACAGGTTAGTACTTACAAGCAAATACTATTGTTCAAAGTGCAAAATTAAACAAAACATTGGAAAATTTGTAACATTCCAGAAATGTATAAATGTAACATTTAAAGTGTAACATTATTCCTGAAATAAATGCATCTGAAATAAAATATCAACTTGTGCATATACAGTCTCTACAATAATACCCACTCATTTTCCACTATCTGGCCCACTACATAATCATTGTATCGGACCGGTCTACGTCTTTCTCTTGTCGACCTACATTCCTAAGGACTTTCTATTGGTTCTGGACTAATGACACCCTCTGGAACAGGGGAGACGACTTCACTGGGATGTGATTGTGGGGTCTCCACACTGTTACCAGATTTCGAACCAGGGGAGACAACTCTACCATGTACCCAACTCTGGCTCAACCCTGGATAACGTCCCTCCAGAACCTGACTCACTCCCAACTTCCATAGAATCCGACAAACTTGTAAACTTACCTGTTGATTCCCTACTAGTAACAGGTATGAACTCTTGAGCTCGAGGATCCAGTGCCCTACTCCAAGTGACCGGTCTTACACACTCAGTATCAGAATCCAAATCTGCATGCATACATGTTGTCGCAAATTATTTACTTCCGTGTGTAAATTTTGTCGTATGAACACGCAGCAAATTTACTTATGTAAGTATTTTGTCATGTGTATTGCATCAGTCTATATTTTAAGCGTTGTTATGGTTGTGTGTGCTTTGGCGGGAAAAATACGTCTTTAAACACGGCGCCTTTCAAACGACCAAACGAATTTTCAATGGTCATTCGTGCTCTACTTAAACGATAGTTGAAAGTAGACTGAGCTTCTGTAAGGGTAGATCTGTTGATGCATGGCTTCAAAGCCCAATCTTCAAAGGATACGCTGGGTCGCCTGGACTACGGGCATAGTACTTTCACCAAATGGCTTTCGCCACTATGAAAACAAGGAGCCATGATCTCCTTTGAGATAAATTTATGTCTCTAAAGATATAGCTGTGGTCGCAAACACCCTGCAAAAACAAGAAGCAAAATCCTTTCCAGTTCAAGTAGTCTCCATGGGAATGCGTAGGAGCTATGATGGGAATATGCAAGCCAGGGCCAAAGCATTTTCAAATTTTTCACAAATTTTTATTAATGTTTCCTATTTCATTCGAAAATTCTCATACCAATCTTCGTCCTTAAAGTCATTAAGTACGGTTCTGTCGTACCATTCAGTGTATCGGACTTTCCTTCTAGTTTCCTTGATTCGGGAACATCCAATAGCTAATCCTATGCCCAAATAGAAAGGGGATACCCTTTTTCTGTGAAAATTCACCAGTCTGAATCGGTCCATCTCCTTATTTCAAATAACAATTTGGGGATTTACTGATGGTACATAAATCTCTTATGAACGCATAGCAAATCAACTTTTCCTTATGTGTGTAAATTTATTGTAAATTTGCATATTTAAGCAAATTTTCGTCGTATGAATGGGTTTAAGACAAGAGGGGACAGTGTGTGACATTACCGGAGATAAAGTAAGACGAGAGGTGGATGAGAGTGACGTTATGGGGAGGTGAAATAGGACACGAGGGGACAGTGTGTGACATTACTGGAGATAAAGTAAGACGAGAGGTGGATGAGAGTGACGTTATGGGGAGGTGAAGTAGGACACGAGGGGACAGTGTGTGACATTACTGGAGATAAAGTAAGACGAGAGGTGGATGAGAGTGACGTTATGGGGAGGTGAAGTAGGACACGAGGGGACAGTGTGTGACATTACTGGAGATAAAGTAAGACGAGAGGTGGATGAGAGTGACGTTATGGGGAGGTGAAGTAGGACACGAGGGGACAGTGTGTGACATTACTGGAGATAAAGTAAGACGAGAGGTGGATGAGAGTGACGTTATGGGGAGGTGAAGTAGGACACGAGGGGACAGTGTGTGACATTACTGGAGATAAAGTAAGACGAGAGGTGGATGAGAGTGACGTTATGGGGAGGTGAAGTAGGACACGAGGGGACAGTGTGTGACATTACTGGAGATAAAGTAAGACGAGAGGTGGATGAGAGTGACGTTATGGGGAGGTGAAGTAGGACACGAGGGGACAGTGTGTGACACTACTGGAGATAAAGTAAGACGAGAGGTGGATGAGAGTGACGTTATGGGGAGGTGAAATAGGACACGAGGGGACAGTGTGTGACATTACTGGAGATAAAGTAAGACGAGAGGTGGATGAGAGTGACGTTATGGAGAGGTGAAGAAGGACACGAGGGGACAGTGTGTGACATTACTGGAGATAAAGTAAGACGAGAGGTGGATGAGAGTGACGTTATGGGGAGGTGAAGCAGGACACGAGGGGACAGTGTGTGACATTACGGTGAGCTAAAGTAAGACGAGAGGTGGATGAGAGTGACGTTATGGGGAGGTGAAGAAGGACACGAGGGGACAGTGTGTGACATTACTGGAGATAAAGTAAGACGAGAGGTGGATGAGAGTGACGTTATGGGGAGGTGAAGTAGGACACGAGGGGACAGTGTGTGACATTACTGGAGATAAAGTAAGACGAGAGGTGGATGAGAGTGACGTTATGGGGAGGTGAAGTAGGACACGAGGGGACAGTGTGTGACATTACTGGAGATAAAGTAAGACGAGAGGTGGATGAGAGTGACGTTATGGGGAGGTGAAGTAGGACACGAGGGGACAGTGTGTGACATTACTGGAGATAAAGTAAGACGAGAGGTGGATGAGAGTGACGTTATGGGGAGGTGAAGTAGGACACGAGGGGACAGTGTGTGACACTACTGGAGATAAAGTAAGACGAGAGGTGGATGAGAGTGACGTTATGGGGAGGTGAAATAGGACACGAGGGGACAGTGTGTGACATTACTGGAGATAAAGTAAGACGAGAGGTGGATGAGAGTGACGTTATGGAGAGGTGAAGAAGGACACGAGGGGACAGTGTGTGACATTACTGGAGATAAAGTAAGACGAGAGGTGGATGAGAGTGACGTTATGGGGAGGTGAAGCAGGACACGAGGGGACAGTGTGTGACATTACGGTGAGCTAAAGTAAGACGAGAGGTGGATGAGAGTGACGTTATGGGGAGGTGAAGTAGGACACGAGGGGACAGTGTGTGACATTACTGGAGATAAAGTAAGACGAGAGGTGGATGAGAGTGACGTTATGGGGAGGTGAAGTAGGACACGAGGGGACAGTGTGTGACATTACTGGAGATAAAGTAAGACGAGAGGTGGATGAGAGTGACGTTATGGGGAGGTGTAGTAGGACACGAGGGGACAGTGTGTGACATTACTGGAGATAAAGTAAGACGAGAGGTGAATGAGAGTGACGTTATGGGGAGGTGAAGTAGGACACGAGGGGACAGTGTGTGTGACATTACTGGAGATAAAGTAAGACGAGAGGTGAATGAGAGTGACGTTATGGGGAGGTGAAGTAGGACACGAGGGGACAGTGTGTGTGACATTACTGGAGATAAAGTAAGACGAGGAAGATGAGTGACATTACGGGGGAGGTGAAGTGAGACATGAGGAGGATGAGTGACATTACGGGGGAGATGAAGTGAGACATGAGGAGGATGAATGTGACATGACGAGGAGGTGTAGTAAGATATGAAGGGATCGCGTTTGACATTACGGGGAGGTGAAGTAAGACATGAAGAGGATGAGTGTGACATTACGGGGAGGTGAAGTGAGACAAGAAGAGGATGAGTGTGACATTACGGGGAGGTGAAGTGAGACATGAAGAGGATGAGTGTGACATTACGGGGAGGTCAAGTGAGACAAGAAGAGGATGAGTGTGACATTACGGGGAGGTGAAGTAAGACATGAAGAGGATGAGTGTGACATTACGGGGAAGTGAAGTAAAATAAGATGGGATGGGTGTGGTATGACGTGAAGTAAATTTAGAGGTGGATGAGCGTGAAATTATGGGGAGGTGAAGCAAGACAGAAGAGGTGGAGTGTAACACTACGTCAAGGTGAAAGGAGGCAAGAGTGGGTGAGTATGACATTACGGAGAGGTGAAGTAAGATTAGAGGATGATGAGCGTGACATTATGGGGAGGTGAAATAAAACTGCAGGGGAATGAGTGCGACATTACGGAGAGGTGAAGTGAGACAAGAGGGCGATAAGTGTGATACTACAGAGAGAAGTAAGACAGGAGGAGGGTGAGCGTGACATTATGTTGGGGTGAAATGAGACAAGAGGGGTATCAGTCACATTTCGGCGAGATGATATTGACTAACTCTCCCACTTCCCCGCCACCCCCTGGTCCCTAGGGGTCAAATTAACTTTCCGAATTAAAGAAATGCTAATAGACCTGCAATAATGCTTCAGACCAAATTTAGTTGAAATCTAAACAGGAGTAGCGTTTTAAGTATAATATTGTCTAACACCCCCGTTTCATGCTCCACCTATATGTTCCTAGTTGCCGAATCAAATTTGTGAATTAAGGAGATGATCCTACATCACTAATGATGTTTCGAACCAAATTTGGTTAAAATCCGCTGAGACATTAAGCAGAAGTAATGTTTTAAAGGAAAAAATAAGGACGGTGGACGATGCACGATAGCAATAGGTCATATTGACCCTTCTAGTCAGATGACCTAACAAGAGGGTATGAGTGTGACACTATGGGGATGTAAAGTAGGAGGAGGATGAGTGTTACATTATGGGGAGGTGAAGTGTTACATTATTGGGAGGTGGCGTAAGACAGGTAGGTGAGTGTGGCATTATGGAGTGATCAAGTTCGACAAGAGCGGAATGAGTTTGACATTACAGGGAAGGTGTAGTAAAACTACTACATCTGTACAAGTAAACCTCTTTTTCCAACTCTTACATATTGTAACAAGACACCTACGTCTGTAGAAGTACACCTCTGACTCCGACACTTACATATTGTAACAAGACACCTACGTCTGTAGAAGTACGCCTCTGACTCCGACACTTACATATTGTAACAAGACACCTACGTCTGTAGAAGTACGCCTCTGACTCCGACACTTACATATTGTAACAAGACACCTACGTCTGTAGAAGTACGCCTCTGACTCCGACACTTACATATTGTAACAAGACACCTACGTCTGTAGAAGTACACCTCTGACTCCGACACTTACATATTGTAACAAGACACCTACGTCTGTAGAAGTAAGCCTCTTTTTCCAACTCTTACATATTGTAACAAGACACCTACGTCTGTAGAAGTCAGCCTGACTCCGACACTTACATATTGTAACAAGACACCTACGTCTGTAGAAGTACGCCTCTGACTCCGACACTTACATATTGTAACAAGACACCTACGTCTGTAGAAGTAAGCCTCTTTTTCCAACTCTTACATATTGTAACAAGACACCTACGTCTGTAGAAGTCAGCCTGACTCCGACACTTACATATTGTAACAAGACACCTACGTCTGTAGAAGTACGCCTCTGACTCCGACACTTACATATTGTAACAAGACACCTACGTCTGTAGAAGTACGCCTCTGACTCCGACACTTTCATATTGTAACAAGACACCTACGTCTGTAGAAGTAAGCCTCTGACTCCGACACTTACATATTGTAACAAGACACCTACGTCTGTAGAAGTACGCCTCTGACTCCGACACTTACATATTGTAACAAGACACCTACGTCTGTAGAAGTACGCCTCTGATTCCGACACTTACATATTGTAACAAGACACCTACGTCTGTAGAAGTAAGTCTCTTACTCCAACACTTTCATAATGTTAGACATTTACGTCTAATACAATTCAATCTGGGACTTTTCTACTTGAAAATAACACTGACTTTTTCATTGAAAATAAAATCTACATTGCTTTATTTTTATTACCTCGCAGTGAATTAATTTCCGGGTTGAAAAGGTTCTTCTTGAGACGAAACAAAAAATGTTTATAGAATAATTTCATTAATATAAGTAACATAGTGATTTGGTATAATTATTAAGACGAGGCATTTGATTAAACGCCATCAACGGTTTCTTGTGATACGTTGAAATGAAGAGATTTATCAAGACGTGGCCTGTCACTTGGTCGCTGTTAGCATATTTTGCGAACTTTCATCTTTTAATATCTTGATAAAGTGGAACTCGTGTTGAATGTTTAATGCTGTTTAAACAGAACAAGTAGATTCAATGTTACCACAGATTTAGAATGGGGATTAGCCATGTTAAGGCTGTCTCGTACTACGTGCAATATAACTCGATACTACAGACTACTGTGGGTACTTGTAGGTTTGTGCATATGGCCATCTATGACAAAATCCATATCAGATCAGCGTTATAGGTCCTATCTAACTTGCTGCTGAAGTGCTAGACTTCGGACGCTGTTTGGGTCTATCTCTTAAGAAATTACTCAGTGGCGAAAAAGGCACGCCTGAACAGAAAGAGATAACTTAAATGCTAGAAATTTGTTAGAAACAAGGTTATCAATGGCCATAAACTTGCTGTAGATTTAGTTTGTTCATATGTTGTCTCTTGGTACTTCTATGCCTACGTTATTTGTGCGTCTTGCGTCCTAACACATTTGGATCAGTAGCTTCAAATCAGTCAGTCTTCATCTTTATGTGTTTGTTACCATTTTTTTTAACTTCAATACATTTTCTGTATATTTATGCAAAATTTTCATACTTGTATTCATTATAACTTCATTACCTAGTTTCCACATTCTCTTAGCCACAAACCTCGGAATGTGATAAACCGTTGTTACAAGCTGAAAGTAGCCGATAACGTCAGGATATCAGATGATGTCGGGCAGTGCTGAATAATCACCATGTCCAGTTGTTTTGATGTTGAGGATGTGCATAAGATTGATCATAGATGAAAATCTCTCATCTTCATACGGCCGGTTATACAGTGAAACCTCGCTTAAAGAACAACTTTGGCCATTACGCTATTAAGACCAGTCCTCCATCACACATCTCCAATCCTCCCCACCTAAAAAAAAATAAATAAAAAATACTCTTTTGTATGCTTTATGATTAAGACCTCACTACCAGGCTGAAGATTTCCTGTCAGTTAAGACCAGGTTCAAAAAGTCTGAAATACTGGTCCCAATGAATTTCACCTCACTAATAAGATCGGCACTGCCCCTACAAGTCACAAAGATCCAAAAAATATAAAACGTACCATTAAACGATATTTAAGTGACAGATTGGATTCTCATGAAAAAAAACGGACTGTTTGATGGCAACGACATGCAGGATTACAAAAATGGATACAAGTGACTGTAAGAGAAGTCTGTCCGTGTTTGTTCAAACTCGCCATTCAGCCCACCCCCTTCTCCAGAAAATTCGAGTCCAATGGAACTACCTAAAGTAGCCATACATTTTTTGCCACTTTCTTTACTTTTAAGAATTAGGAAATGTTTTAAACAAACAGGTTGGCCAAATCAAATATGTTCATAGAATGATTCAGCTTTTTATTTCTCGGCGTTGTCAACCTACCATGTGCTTTGGCTGTTATTTGGTTTTGGCGGGAAAATGTGTTACCGGTGACGTCACAAAGGAAAACGTCACAGTTTTTACTACGTCATCGGCTCAGCAACAGTCGCTTTGTTTTCATTCTGTGAGGTTGTGTACATAGAAACACCGCCGTAGTAGAACATTCCTTTTGTCTTTTGAACATGGCTTCTTTAGAAGAGTTGTGGGGTAAACTGAAAGCAGCAACCGATTCTAAATCATTGCTTAAAAAAAACTTGACCGAGGAGATATACAATGAGTTAAAAGACAAGAAGACAAGTTGTGGTGGAACACTGGCAGAATGCATACGATCAGGTAGGCACTGTAATGTAGCCGTTTCTAGGAAACAAATGTAGAATCTGAAAGTGAATTTGAATGAGACTAGGTCTAGGGGGATCTATGATTATCAAATGCAAACGGCTTATAAGCTCTGGTTTACTCTGAATCATCAATTATAAAAGTTATTTTTAATACTTTAACATCGTTTTCAAACTTTAACACAAATGATACATGTAAAACAAATTGTGTTCCACATACAGAATTAAGGTATATTTGGAACTAGTATTTACTATTTAAAGGTCAAATTGTTATTTCTTAAAATAAGGCTATTTAAGGGTTTCATTCAAATTTGGCTAACTGTCAGCAGCGCACGTGTCTATAAATAAAACCGGTAGGGGTACCCAATCTGAAACTTCTCTCATATTCTGTTCTTCTGTAGAAATAACACAGCTTTGATATTTTCTCCATTTTATAAAAGTTAAATAACTTTCTAATTAATCTTAGTTATTGATCAATCAAAAATATCAATTTCAGCGATACTTTTTATTGCTTTAAAACATGATTAAGAAAACATGGCCTGTTAAAAAAATACCTCAAATATTCATAAATACATGATTTCTTGTTTCGTATGATTGATATTCACTTGTATATGAAAGAAAATCAGAACAAAAAAAACAGAACTAGTAACTTCTGTTCAACTTAGTTCATCTACATAAAATATGCCAAACTAAAAATTGTTGAAACGAGGATGAAGTATTAGCAGGAGAAATAATAACATATTCGTTCAGCCTGTTATGCCTGTAATAGACTTGTTATAATGTTGGTCATAAATACAAATTTAGTGTAGTATGTACTTAATATTCCTAATCATATAAAAAGACATTTTGTACAAAACTAGAATTGTTTGATTTATTTGTGTTCAAGTTTGACAGCAGCGTAAATCCACAGAAAAATAAATTCTGAATGAATGATATTTTGAAAATGGTTTATTTATCAATTTCTAACCATGTAGTCGGACCCAACATTTCCTTGAGACTTGACTATATTGCCATAAAAGCAGTGAAAAATATATATAGGCAGGAAGCTAGTCCGATGGTAAGTGAACTTTTTTGGAAATATACCTTGCTACAGTCTGACAATTAAACAATAATTTAACCGGTTTCCGATTTTTCTGAAAATTTCGCCAATTTCGTGCAAAATGATACGTACCGAAAGTGAATTCAATTTTCCCGATGTTATTTCACTACAGGTTAGTAAGAGTTATCGCTCTTCTCACACCCGCTCGAGTTTCTAAAGTAGGAGGTTACATTAGTACGTCACAGGAAACGAAGTATAATTTATAGATGTCTTTTTTTATTATTATTATGTTTATTCAGGCAAAGGCATAATAAAATTACACATTACAAATATCACATTACATAAGCAATTCAATAACAATGAAAATCAGTAATAAATTATTGTGGATTTCTTAAAATTATTAATTATAAAATATAAGATATCACAGAATTTCACATACCTTAAAACATCACAGTTTAAACTAGTATCGCAGAAATTAAATTACACTATGCTTGCAAATCTTCTAAGTAAAATAGTTGAAAATTTTAGAAATATCAATAAAAAAGAGAGAAATTAGATAAAACCAGATGAAAATGCCTTTGGCCTTGGGTTACCCATAAAGCCTATAAAATAGGCTTATTTCCAATGGGGTCCATTTAAGGTGTAATCATTCCGGTTGAGATGTAAAGCCATGGAAAATGAGATTGAATTAATTTTCGCAGCATTAACTATAAATGAAACAGAGCACTACATTTGAAAGAAAATTACATTTACATAGAAGATATGAAAACAAATACTGAAAGTGAATAAAATGTTTTGCCACATTTCAGGGCATTTATGAAAAAGGATGGGATTTGAAGAGATATTACATAATAATATAATATGAACAATAATATAACATCACTACCCGTTTAACCAGACGCAAAGAAGTGGAGGTTGAGCTCAATAGTAGACGAAGAGGTTGTCAAATTCGCCTTTTGATTGTAGCATCAGAAATTGTTTTACTTTGTTTTTTAAATGATATTTATTTTTAGAATTTTTAATATTTTCTGGAAGGGAATTCCAATCTTTTGCGGCCGAAGTAGAAAAGGAAGAACTTTCTATGCTTTTAACGTTTTTTATTGAGAAGTTCATCGTTCCAGATCTAGTACCAAAACAGTTTTTGTTTAGAGAGTAAAGTTCATATAAATATTGTGGACATTTACCATTATAGATGTTAAAAGTATGGTTGAGGCGAAGTTGACGGACCCTTCGTTCTACATTAAGCATGCCTAGTTTTTCTAATTCAGTGACAGTGATCCTTGTTCTGTTATCAAGGTTAAGAATAAAGTCTAATTTGTTTATCAGAATGATGGCCGAAATGGAGGGAGCTGTCTCTTACGGGAGAAAAGTGTAATTTGCTCATTGTTTTAAGCAGGACTCGGAAAGAAAAAACCTCAGAGCAAACAGGACATAATATACAAATTGTTTATTGCGTTATTCAAAAGTTTAAACAGCAGGGGTCGGCAAAGAAAGCCACACCGTGAGGTAGGCCAGAATTATTCTCATGTTGGGTACCCGTGAACTTTGTGGTATTGGTAAAGCTGGTAGCAAGCGTTCTCTTAATGATACAACCCGTACTTGTACTTTCAATAAAAAAAACCAGAAAGTGTCCAAAGCTACTTTAACAAAGAAAAATTAGTGAAGAACATAGATATTATATCTATGGTCAGGAAGGACGTTTGAATTCGTGATATTAACATAAAAAATTGGAGTCAATCAAATAGATACAAAACTTTTAAAGAATTAAAAAAAAAGTTATTTATAGTGATGAATGCAAAGTTGAAATCAATTAAGAAAATCGTGTTATGGTGTGGCGACCACCCAGTGAGGAATGGACTTGTAGAAGCCCCGGCTGAGGGATACGTCCGAGTTTAATTGGGGTTGTATTACATGACATGGTGCGGGAACCTTCACCCTTATTACTGGTAATATCAATGCTGAAAATCATATAGAAATACTTTAACATTTTCTATGGCGTGTAATGGCTCTTCATTATGTAGCGGTATGATCAAAACCGCGGGTGTCATTTTGTTTACTTTTATTTAAAAAAACAGAGAGAGAGAGAGAGAGAGAGAGAGAGAGAGAGAGAGAGAGAGAGAGAGAGAGAGAGAGAGAGAGAGAGAGAGAGAGAGAGAGAGAGAGAGAGAGAGAGAGAGAGAGAGAGAGAGAGAGAGAGAGAGAGACAGAGAGAGAGAGAGAGAGAGAGAGAGAGAGAGAGAGAGAGAGAGAGAGAGACGTTAACACATAACGTGCATAAATGGTGCACAGGATAGCACAGATGACACTACATAATTCCGTCACCACAATAGCAGATACAAATGCCAGAAATATTCAGAGACAGTCTTACTGACAAATGAATTCAACCTTTCACTTGGAGAGTTAGAATTCGAATGTACCGAAATACTAAGGACAAATAAACCCACAAGACAGAAACTTTCAACCTATCTAACAACTTCGTCAAAGTCCGTCAAGTGTCACATGTCCAGTCCGTAGCTGACCACAACTCACGTTCATATATACAAAGCGTGAACAAAGAAACCTACTCGCGCTATACTCGGTATACGTACCGGTATACATTAAAAGGCAAAACGTTACGCGAGTTTTATGAATAATATACAAAACAACCAATTCAGTATATTGTACTAAACGACAAATAACTATATTTATATCCCAAAGAATTTGACAATCAATATAATAACTTAATAATTTTGACCCTGTTACAATTACCCCAATAGCTACATATTTCAAGATGACAATGCATCCGTGCACAGGACTCGTATATTTAGGACATTTTATTGAAGGAATTTACATCAACGCCATAGAATGACCAGTCCGGAGTCCTGATTTAAATATTAGCCATTCAATTCATTCAGCACGTAAAGACATAAATATCCTTACATAACACTCAAAATCTGCATAAATCTATAGCAAAACGTGATAAGGCAGTGAGAAAGACTAAAAGAAGCATAACAAATTACGATGTACGTGATATATATATGTGTATATATAATTATCTATCACGATTTTAAAATTCCAAATTCATTATAACTAATAATGATATTATTCTCACATTTGGCACAACATATATGTATATGTGCCTGATGTTTTGATGTTTAAAATTATACATCATTTTTTGTTTTTGTTTTTATTATTACACAGTTTTGATATTTATCTTGAGGTCATAGTCTGCAGAAAGTGTTTTGACAGTTATTTTGGCGAAATAGGGAACCCTGTCGTACATCCATGGTTGCAACTCTGAATAGAGTCACATTTCATAATTATTGTAGTAAGACATTTTTTTTCTCTTTGAAAAATTCTTGAAATTAGTACTGGAGTTAAAAAGGGCTCTCCACTGTTGGCTTTACCTGTATTGTTTGAAGTCAAGAAGTTAAAATTAATTTTAAAAGTAAAATGGCAATAACTCTTACAAAAATATAAGTGGAACTTGATCTGCATCTTATTACTCAAAAATATATCAAACGCGTATTCATTGTCATTATCTATTAAAAGATGAATGAATGGAAACAAAAACGAAAAAAAAAACAAAAAACGAAATTATGATGAATGTATCAATAGCATAATGATGGAAAGATGAAAATACTGCCAAAGGCAATAGTACTTCTACATACCAAAGTCGTAACATGGTAGGGGCATTCAAAATGATATCAGTAAAGACAGTTTAACGAAATGAAATCCTTGAGTGTTAATAACGTACATTACAGGTTGTGAGAACACTGACAGTGGTACGGGAATATATGCTTCTGACCCCGAGGCCTATGATACATTTGGTGCCGTTCTCATGCCCGTGATCAAGGACTACCACAAGGTCGCCGATGTCTCCCACCCGGCCTGTAACTTCGGGGATGTAGATAACCTCAACTTTGGCGACCTTGACCCCGAAAACAAGTTCATCGTCTCCACACGTGTGAGGGTTGGCAGGAGCCATAAGAGCTTCGGTTTTCCTCCAACATGCAACAAAGAGGTACATACCGGCAATCTTGAATTTCGGCAAACTATACAAAATGTTGCAGTTGATATGTTTAATGTTATTCTTGTATTATATTGCATTTTTCTGAGTAGCGTTCATTAAATGTACTTATGTGTAGACTCCTTTAGAAAAAAAAACAGCTACAGATCAAATAATAATAATTCCTGTGTGTTGCTTAATACTTGCATGTTCTATGAACGCCTTAAATGAATCATTTGGTGTTTTCTGGTGATTACAGGATCGTATCAAAATGGAGGAAATGTGTAAAGCTGCACTGGATTCTCTGGACGGGGAACACAAAGGCACATACTTTCCTCTGGTGGGAATGTCTGATGACGTCAAACAACAGCTTACAGCAGACCACTTCCTGTTCAACGATAAAGACAGGTGTTGTAGTATCAGAAATCCTAACTTAAGGAAGTTAGTTTGCCGCGTTCAAAACTCAAAATGGGCCAAATGTTACTCCTCTTGGACGAGTTATGGTCGGTCACATCTGGCCACATTACTGACAATATAGAATTGTGATGTAGTTGTGGTGTTCTGAAAATATGACGGCAGTTGGGTATCTTAGCAGGCATCTTAGTGAAATGAAGTTAAACATGCGTTATAAATCCTTATGTATTGCAGCCAAAATGGTATATCTTTACTAACACTCTTTTGAGTCTGTAAAAGTGTATAACAATCAACTTCCTGTTCAAATTGAGCAACATGTCATAAAGTTACGAAAACTTCGCCGAGTGGCGTAATAATAAGAAAAAATAAATAGTGAGGCAAATACTACGGCTGGATGAAGAGCGACATTTTCCCCATCTGTTCCGCAATATGTTTCCCCCTGTTTCGTTCTGTTGCTAGATAATGACGATGTGTTAGGGACGAAATAACAAAATGGTACACATCAGTCACCTTTTACGTAAAAACTTTATATTCTCCACATGGATGTATATTTTAGGATGGAGTGAAATGTCAACAGATGCCGGAATCGGTAGGATATCCCCACAATACCATTCACTAAAACGCCGAATTCGTCATAATTATTCATTTTGAGAATTGCTTGACAGGGTGATTTTAGAATTTGTACCCAAAATGTCGCTGGGAAAACTAAGAACACAGCTGGCGTGTTTCTAGTTATCGACTCGCATATTTCCTACACAATCACTAGATCAATAACCTTCATGCCAAAAAAGTAAAATCAGGTGTTAAGCAATATTTCGTAACATAGTGACCCCCACGAACGTTTTTCAATAAACTTGAAATGGCGTCAGCCGTTAACAGAGGTGGTATGAGGGGTAGTGCAATGCATTATGGGAAAGATAAGTTTTAAACGGAATCATTGCCAGTTTTACGATTGCCATGCAATATTGGCACCAAATTACTGTTCCACTTATATATAGGATCTTGCACGAGAAGAAAAAGGGACATTTCTTCGTCAAAATTGAAGTCATTTCTGCTCTATATCTATGTTCTTCTTTGTTTATCACCATGCTATTGGAGAGTTTGTAACGTCAATTCATTATCGAAACCTGAAATCATTATTTTTTTTCAATGCCTGCGCCAGGAATCGAACCCGGAACCCCTGGCTTACCAGTTTGACGCTCAACCAATCGAGCTATAGAGAAGTTCCCGGCGACTCCTTTCAAAGACCAAACACAGACAAACGACTAACCGCCAAACCAGACGAGACAATACTGACCGTTACCATATATGGAACATTACAAAACAACTGCACACCATATTAACATAACAATACACAAAACGTATGATGTAGATATACAGACAAACAAATAGACATTTACAAGTCCGCGCGCAAATAACGCTTACCAGTTTGACGCTCAACCAATCGAGCTATAGAGAAGTTCCCGGCGACTCCTTTCAAAGACCAAACAAAGACAAACGACTAACCGCCAAACCAGACGAGACAATACTGACCGTTACCATATATGGAACATTACAAAACAACTGCACACCATATTAACATAACAATACACAAAACGTATGATGTAGATATACAGACAAACAAATAGACATTTACAAGTCCGCGCGCAAATAACGCTTACCAGTTTGACGCTCAACCAATCGAGCTATAGAGAAGTTCCCGGCGACTCCTTTCAAAGACCAAACAAAGACAAACGACTAACCGCCAAACCAGACGAGACAATACTGACCGTTACCATATATGGAACATTACAAAACAACTGCACACCATATTAACATAACAATACACAAAACGTATGATGTAGATATACAGACAAACAAATAGACATTTACAAGTCCGCGCGCAAATAACGCGTACCGATTAATGCGACAGTTATAAAATATACTAAATGAAATCAAACACCTATTAATTAACTTTATTAAAATGACAGATTTTACACATTGTTACACGAGCATCGTAAAACGAACACATTTTAGATCCGCGATGCTTACCATCAATAAATACTAATCGGTACGTTTAATTTATAATGTGTCTATACATGGGATGTTATCATTTCTCAGTAGGCTTCAAATGACCTTTCTTCGCGTGTGTGTATTTTCATGGTGTATTATGAAGTTCAAGCAAACGTTGTTACTTAGTAACTTAATTTAGAACCTTTAGGCTTTTCCGTCAAACGCTTGTTTCTCGATTACTCTAACAGTAACAGTAGATCTATATTATATCTTTTTTTCACCAAATGTCCAGACTTTGTATAATAGATGCTGACATTGACCATTGCAAGGTTTCTGAAGGCCGCTGGTGGATATGACGACTGGCCGCACGGCAGAGGAATCTTCCACAACCCCGACAAGACCTTTCTCATCTGGGTTAACGAGGAGGATCATCTGCGAATTATTTCCATGCAGATGGGTGGTGACCTTGGAGCTGTATATAAGAGACTTGTCAAGGTTTGTCCATCAAATTTTACTGTTGATCCCAATATCTAAATTTGAATGTAAGTCATATACTGCAATAAATTTAAGTTTTGATGATCATTTTTTTTTAATTCTGAAAAGGACACATTTAATAGATGTTTGAGCATTTGTTAATTATATAGAGTAAAATACTATATTGATTAAGGAAGGTCAGTTACACAGTTTTGTTGTATTCAATAGGCTTTTGTCCGATTTGGACTTTCCTTTAAATTTGACGTCAATCTTCTGTGTATGTAGTCTTGTCCCCATGACTACGATTTTGTCACGACGGATATGCGATAAATGTTATTTACAGTATTTTGAATTACACATGTTAGTTAATGTTTAAAGTTACAACTGCATTGTCACGCAAATGTATCTATTATCAGAATAAATGGAATTTGTGCATTTTGGTTCTAGCACATGTTGTTTTAACTTGACTGCATTGAATTTGTGTCTGTACTTCACACTTTTTTCAGGGGATCCAAAAAATGTCAGAAAAACTGGAGTTTGCCCGTCACGACAAACTAGGCTTCTTGACATTCTGTCCTACCAATCTTGGAACAACTCTCCGGGCCAGCGTCCATATCAAAATCCCTAAGTTAGCTGCTACTCCAGAATTCAAGGAATTTTGTGATAAATATAACATCCAGGCCAGAGGTAATGCTGTTGTTCTAGAGCAATGTATTGATATAATTTAGTAGTGGAAGTGATGCATTATGTAATACTGATGTTTGATGAAGAAATTGTTATTATGTGCCCCTTTTTTATCCTAACTGTTGTTTACGTACACTGTAAGTAGGGAAAACCACATTTGGAAACAACAAAGAAAATACCGACATTTTATCGGAATCATAATTCAAACACAAAATATATTTACACGGAGGCTCATGAAAATTCAACAAGAATTACACCAGATGTGCCAGAAGAGTAAGCGTTTTCTGCTCTTCGACAACACTCACCATGTAAATGTTGGTCAATCCACGGTGTCAAGTTTCTAACTGAGAACATCGGAACCACCAGGTATACTAACGAACATTAAACACGACCAGCTTCAAACAACTGTATCGCACAAAGAAATCGTCACTTGTCGACATCTTTGCTTGACAGTCGTGAAACAGGAAAAAATCGCTACAATATCGATTCAACTGCGAAATGTAAACAACATAGATTGGGGATGCAGGGATGTTTCTGTAGAATAAAGAAATCGAAATCATCACACTTATGATACAGCTTAGTGGAAAACAGTCTCTGTTGGTTTCGTTGTCAGAAATGATTGAGGTATGCGAATGATGGGAGATGGGCATATTCTATGAACATGGTAAATAAAGCTCTTGTAATCGAAAGACGAGACGTCAGAAATATATCTGAAAGTTGAGTTCTTATGAAAGTCACGAACAAAGAGACGTCAATGATAAAACCGTATCAAATGAACAGAAAATCGAATGATGCCATTCTCTGTTCAACAGTCACCTGGGGCAATATATAAAGAATACATGGTTAGTGTCGTAAGATATAATCTCTATTCTGGCGAGGATGATGAAAGACAAACTGGCGAGCCACTTATTTTCTCGCACCTCAGGGATATCTCGCGTAATACCCATCCCAGATCTGTCTAGTTCCGTTAAAAAATAAGTTTTTCACTGTAAAATGTATTGTATTTTCCATAAACGCGGCCTACATTGTTAATGCGGCAATATCCAAACGTTTAAAAGTTGAGAGGTTGGGTGGGTAAGTTGAGGCTCCCACGGGATACGCCAAACTCTGATGAAATATTCAGAGTCTTTGGTGCGAGAGTAAAAATCTATTACATATAACTGAGCGAGATCGGGGTATCTATCTCGGGCTAAGGTCCTGTAACATCCTAACCTTGGCTAACGCTTCGATTGGAATTGTGTTACAGGATCTTAGCCCTCGACTGAGATACCCGATCTCGTATCGTTACAGGTAACATATTTTATAAGTCTTTCTGTCCCGAGCCAAAATGCATCTTATATTTTAAGACACTGACCATGTTTTATATTTGTCCTTAAACATTGATTGAAAATGAGACTATTGAAACTTTAAAAAGTTTTGTTATCCAATCTGTGTTTACCTGACATTGCAGTTACGCTGAATTTTGCCTGATGACGAACGCAGGAACAGTTCCAAACTTCATCGGATATAACAGCGATTTTATCGAATTTTCATTAGCCAACTTGTTAATTACAACATGTAAAATCGCCTATTTTAACAACTGTTTATATTTCTAAACGTAATATTTCAGTAAATTCAGAGAGTAATTCTGTCGAATTATCGCACGTAGTTAAATACAGCTGTTTTCCGTCACTGTCTAGTACAGCATGTGGCAGGTGTATTCCGATAACGGCAGGACCAGTTGCAGGAAAACCTTCATTATCCTATACTGAAATAATAACCTCCATTGTAGGTATCCATGGAGAGCATACAGAAAGTGTTGGAGGAGTGTATGACATCTCCAACAAGAGGAGACTGGGTCTGAGCGAGTACGATGCTCTTCAGGAAATGAAGACAGGCGTGGAAGCCGTGATTGCAGAAGAGAAAAGATTGTCATAGATTCCTGGTGCAGGTGTAGATGGTCAATACTCGGATAATTATCTGTCCATCAAACATGCTCTTTAATAAAAATATAGATATATTTACATTTCCTGTTTATTTTCTATGTATGAGTTTCAATGCCACAAAGAGATGAAATTGACATAGGCTTACTACTACAATGAACAGCTTCATCATGCTTATTGAAAATGAATCAAGTGACACCGACTTGAATAAATTACTGTAGTTACTGCACAACGAACCATTTTTTTCTTCTTTAGCTCCATTAAAGAATGGTACGGATTCACACCATTAAGACACCCCGATTAAATATATGCATTGTCAACATCAGAAAAAGAGATGAGGTACAAGTTATTACAACTTCTTTATACCTCCTAATTTACATTACATTGGAAAACAATTACTATCAAGGAAACATACATACATTGAAAATACAACAATTATTACTGTCCAAATCAAAATCTGTTGCTAAACTTTATTAAGGGCTGCACGTTTGAAGATGTTTGAATTAAGGTCTACGGTAAGAAGATTTTCAAACAAAGTTGTATCCAAATTGATTTCAACATTCAAAGAATAGAAAGTTTGGATTATAATATTCCTTTCATTGGTGTAAATATAAGATTATGGAAAACAGAGAAAGACGTTTTCAAAACGAAAAACAATTTGTCACATCTTTATTGCTAAATATGACGATACTATACGGATTGCGTTTATACCAGAATGCATGTGAACATCAAATACGTATTAATAGGTATGGAAGCAATGATATATATTCCTGTTACTGAACATTCATGGAAAGCCTGTTGTACGTCTTCGTTAAAATGGATGAAAAACTTATATCGGTCGGTCATGGGAAAATTGTATTTTCTTACATATGAAACAATAGAAGGTGTATCAAAATCTATGCATACCAACACATAATATCGTTAGATTTGAAGATCACAGGTGTACACAAATTAAAAAGGCAAAGTCGATGTTAATGATTATCCATTGTACTTTTCAATATTTGCTGTATAAGTTTCTTGTATGGGTTCATTTGAATATGTGAATGCTCTGTGACAATATGGCGAAATGTTGCAAAGAGTTCAAAGGAGTACTAGTGTTACCAAGATAACGTTTACTCACCACGGTAAAATAATAACGACAGTACAACGTCATTACAAACACATGCATAGTATTTATTCTAAAGTTGTCATCTTCAAGTAGAAAAAACTAAAAACATCTGAGAAATATCAATTGCATTAAATGTAAAATCATTACGCTGGAGTGTCATGGACAAAACCTAGGCCTTTCCTTTCATACCTTTCGGTTCTTATGTGAACATCCAATTAAGGTAATCATTTTTCTCAAATAAATGCGCCTTGGAACAGCATTTTATAGCTGGACCTGAAGCAAAATGGAACGCCATATTTATCTTTCACATGCACAACGAGGCAGCGAGGTCTCTTGTACAGCTGCTGTGAAGTCAGCATATCGGGAGCTGGACGTGTTCATCACGTATTCACTAAAATGTAAAGAATTGGCAAATATAAAGAGGTTGCATAAACACTACTTTTGTATTGCAGAAATCACATATCATATAATGTGGACTCTAAACCAGTAGAGACTTATAAAACAAAAACACTATTGTATTAGTGTTATAGTATGGATATATTTAACCATCGAACTGTTGTTTAACAGTAATTATTGTCTAGGTGATATTATTACATGACTTTCTGCTCACATGATAGAATGATGAATTGGTTTAGAATTATGAATAAAAGAAACCCAAAAAACGAGTTTTAAAAATGTCACATTCAATGGAAACAACTTTAAGATTCCGCATATCATATAAATTCCTTTTGCAAAAAAATTAAAACTGCATTTTATTAGACAGACGCAAATTTTAGATTAGCGATGTTAGCATCATAATGTGTCTTTCATAACGTGATAATGCACACGTGTGGTCTCAATATTTTATTTTCTTAACTGAGTGTCATTACACCAATAGTAGTGTTATTTTGTTCTGTTATAACGACAGTTTGGTTGCAGCATCTTAAATAACAAGAACTTGATAAAACATTTCTGCAGAAAAGATTCGTCGTCAGTGTTACCTACCTTGTAGTCTGATTGTTTCACCAACACCGACACCATCGTGTACAACTTGTTATACGTGATATTTAACACTTGGTATTTGAGGCTGTTCAGTCCGTCAGTTTTATATCGCTTATTTGCTTTTTTAAGGAGACCAAATCTAGAAAAGATTTACATCAGATATAAAAAATGTAAATGGTGCTCATATGAATATACAGCATTTGGATATTAATTCTTTATTACAGACAAGTAATACTGCCTTCGGTTGTGTCTTTACGTAAAGGATAACAGATTGAATAAATTATGTGCAACGGAACAAACTGAGATTTGTATTGTATTTATGATCAGGTGTCTTGTAGTTTTGTCTTATTTTGTGTCTGTGATATTTTGTAGTTTGATTTTTTGTTGTCTGTAATGAGATAACTGGTGGTTTGTTTTGTAGTGTGTCTGTGATGATATATCTGGTGGTTTGTTTTGTAGTGTGTCTGTAATATTTTGTAGTTTGATTTTTGTTATGTCTGTGATGAGATATCTGATGAGATATCTTGTGGTTTGTTTTGTAGTGTGTCTGTGATGAGATATCTGGTGGTTTGTTTTGTAGTGTGTCTGTGATGAGATATCTGGTGGTTTGTTTTGTAGTGTGTCTGTGATGATATATCTGGTGGTTTGTTTTGTAGTGTGTCTGTGATGATATATCTGGTGGTTTGTTTTGTAGTGTGTCTGTAATGAGATAACTAATGGTTTGTTTTGTAGTGTGTCTGTGATGAGATATCTGGTGGTTTGTTTTGTAGTGTGTCTGTGATGAGATATCTGGTGGTTTGTTTTGTAGTGTGTCTGTGATGAGATATCTGGTGGTTTGTTTTGTAGTGTGTCTGTGATGAGATAACTGGTGGTTTGTTTTGTAGCGTGTATGTGATGAGATAACTGGTGGTTTGTTTTGTAGTGTGTCGGTGATGATATATCTGGTGGTTTGTTTTGTACTGTGTATGTAATCTGGTGGTTTGTTTTGTTGTGTGTCTGTGATGATATATCTGGTGGTTTGTTTTGTTGTGTGTTTGTGATGATATATCTGGTGGTTTGTTTTGTTGTGTGTCTGTGATGATATATCTGGTGGTTTGTTTTGTAGTGTGTCTGTGATGAGATATCTGGTGGTTTGTTTTGTAGTGTGTCTGTGATGAGATATCTGGTGGTTTGTTTTGTACTGTGTATGTAATCTGGTGGTTTGTTTTGTACTGTGTCTGTGATGAGATATCTGGTGGTTTGTTTTGTAGTGTGTCTGTGATGAGATATCTGGTGGTTTGTTTTGTAGTGTGTCTGTGATGATATATCTGGTGGTTTGTTTTGTAGTGTGTCTGTAATGAGATAACTGGTGGTTTGTTTTGTAGTGTGTCTGTGATGAGATATCTGGTGGTTTGTTTTGTAGTGTGTCTGTGATGAGATATCTGGTGGTTTGTTTTGTAGTGTGTCTGTGATGAGATATCTGGTGGTTTGTTTTGTAGTGTGTCTGTGATGAGATATCTGGTGGTTTGTTTTGTAGTGTGTCTGTGATGAGATATCTGGTGGTTTGTTTTGTAGTGTGTCTGTGATGAGATATCTGGTGGTTTGTTTTGTAGTGTGTCTGTGATGAGATATCTGGTGGTTTGTTTTGTAGTGTGTCTGTGATGATATATCTGGTGGTTTGTTTTGTAGTGTGTCGGTGATGATATATCTGGTGGTTTGTTTTGTACTGTGTATGTAATCTGGTGGTTTGTTTTGTAGTGTGTCTGTGATGAGATATCTGGTGGTTTGTTTTGTAGTGTGTCTGTGATGAGATATCTGGTGGTTTGTTTTGTAGTGTGTCTGTGATGAGATATCTGGTGGTTTGTTTTGTAGTGTGTCTGTGATGAGATATCTGGTGGTTTGATTTTTGTTATGTCTGTGATGAGATATCTGATGAGATATCTGGTGGTTTGTTTTGTAGTGTGTCTGTGATGATATATCTGGTGGTTTGTTTTGTAGTGTGTCTGTGATGAGATATCTGGTGGTTTGTTTTGTAGTGTGTCTGTGATGAGATATCTGGTGGTTTGTTTTGTTGTGTGTCTGTGATGATATATCTGGTGGTTTGTTTTGTAGTGTGTCTGTGATGATATATCTGGTGGTTTGTTTTGTAGTGTGTCTGTGATGAGATATCTGGTGGTTTGTTTTGTAGTGTGTCTGTGATGAGATATCTGGTGGTTTGTTTTGTAGTGTGTCTGTGATGAGATATCTGGTGGTTTGTTTTGTAGTGTGTCTGTGATGAGATATCTGGTGGTTTGTTTTGTAGTGTGTCTGTGATGAGATATCTGGTGGTTTGTTTTGTAGTGTGTCTGTGATGATATATCTGGTGGTTTGTTTTGTAGTGTGTCTGTGATGATATATCTGGTGGTTTGTTTTGTAGTGTGTCTGTGATGAGATATCTGGTGGTTTGTTTTGTAGTGTGTCTGTGATGAGATATCTGGTGGTTTGTTTTGTAGTGTGTCGGTGATGATATATCTGGTGGTTTGTTTTGTAGTGTGTATGTGATGAGATATCTGGTGGTTTGTTTTGTAGTGTGTCTGTGTGATGAGTGTGTCTGTGATATCTGGTGGTTTGTTTTGTAGTGTGTCTGTGATGTCTGTATCTGGTGGTTTGTTTTGTAGTGTGTCTGTGATGAGATATCTGGTGGTTTGTTTTGTAGTGTGTCTGTGATGATATATCTGTGGTTTGTGGTTTGTAGTGTGTCTGTGTGATATATCTGTGTGTCTGTGATGATATATCTGGTGGTTTGTTTTGTAGTGTGTCTGTGATGAAATTTCTGGTGGTTTGTTTTGTAGTGTGTCTGTGATGAGATATCTGTTGGTTTGTTTTGTAGTGTGTCTGTGATGAGATATCTGTGATGAGATATCTGGTGGTTTGTTTTGTAGTGTGTCTGTGATGAGATATCTGGTGGTTTGTTTTGTAGTGTGTCTGTGATGAGATATCTGGTGGTTTGTTTTGTAGTGTGTCTGTGATGAGATATCTGGTGGTTTGTTTTGTAGTGTGTCTGTGATGAGATATCTGGTGGTTTGTTTTGTAGTGTGTCTGTGATGAGATATCTGGTGGTTTGTTTTGTAGTGTGTCTGTGATGAGATATCTGGTGGTTTGTTTTGTAGTGTGTCTGTGATGAGATATCTGGTGGTTTGTTTTGTAGTGTGTCTGTGATGAGATATCTGGTGGTTTGTTTTGTAGTGTGTCTGTGATGAGATATCTGGTGGTTTGTTTTGTAGTGTGTCTGTGATGAGATATCTGGTGGTTTGTTTTGTAGTGTGTCTGTGATGAGATATCTGGTGGTTTGTTTTGTAGTGTGTCTGTGATGAGATATCTGGTGGTTTGTTTTGTAGTGTGTCTGTGTGTCTGTGATGATATATCTGGTGGTTTGTTTTGTAGTGTGTCTGTGATGATATATCTGGTGGTTTGTTTTGTAGTGTGTCTGTGATGAGATATCTGGTGGTTTGTTTTGTAGTGTGTCTGTGATGAGATATCTGGTGGTTTGTTTTGTAGTGTGTCTGTGATGAGATATCTGGTGGTTTGTTTTGTAGTGTGTCTGTAATGAGATATCTGGTGGTTTGTTTTGTAGTGTGTCGGTGATGAGATATCTGGTGGTTTGTTTTGTAGTGTGTCGGCGATGAGATATCTGGTGGTTTGTTTTGTAGTGTGTCGGCGATGAGATATCTGGTGGTTTGTTGTGTGTCTGTGATGAGATATCTGGTGGTTTGTTTTGTTGTGTGTCTGTGATGAGATATCTGGTGGTTTGTTTTGTAGTGTGTCTGTGATGATATATCTGGTGGTTTGTTTTGTAGTGTGTCTGTGATGAGATATCTGGTGGTTTGTTTTGTAGTGTGTCTGTGATGAGATATCTGGTGGTTTGTTTTGTAGTGTGTCTGTGATGAGATATCTGGTGGTTTGTTTTGTAGTGTGTCTGTGATGATATATCTGGTGGTTTGTTTTGTAGTGTGTCTGTGATGAGATATCTGGTGGTTTGTTTTGTAGTGTGTCTGTGATGAGATATCTGGTGGTTTGTTTTGTAGTGTGTCTGTGATGATATATCTGGTGGTTTGTTTTGTAGTGTGTCTGTGATGAGATATCTGGTGGTTTGTTTTGTGGTGTTTGTTTTGTAGTGTGTCTGTGATGAGATATCTGGTGGTTTGTTTTGTATGTGTCTGTGATGATATATCTGTGGTTTGTTTTGTAGTGTGTCTGTGATGAGATATCTGGTGGTTTGTTTTGTAGTGTGTCTGTGTGTGTCTGTGATGAGATATCTGGTGGTTTGTTTTGTACTGTGTATGTGTCTGTGATGAGATATCTGGTGGTTTGTTTTGTAGTGTGTCTGTGATGAGATATCTGGTGGTTTGTTTTGTAGTGTGTCTGTGATGAAATTTCTGGTGGTTTGTTTTGTACTGTGTATGTAATCTGGTGGTTTGTTTTGTAGTGTGTCTGTGATGAGATATCTGGTGGTTTGTTTTGTAGTGTGTCTGTGATGATATATCTGGTGGTTTGTTTTGTAGTGTGTCTGTAATGAGATATCTGGTGGTTTGTTTTGTAGTGTGTCTGTAATGAGATATCTGGTGGTTTGTTTTGTAGTGTGTCTGTGATGAGATATCTGGTGGTTTGTTTTGTAGTGTGTCTGTGATGAGATATCTGGTGGTTTGTTTTGTAGTGTGTCTGTGATGAGATATCTGGTGGTTTGTTTTGTAGTGTGTCTGTGATGAGATATCTGGTGGTTTGTTTTGTAGTGTGTCTGTGATGAGATATCTGGTGGTTTGTTTTGTAGTGTGTCTGTGATGATATATCTGGTGGTTTGTTTTGTAGTGTGTCTGTGATGAGATATCTGGTGGTTTGTTTTGTAGTGTGTCTGTGATGATATATCTGGTGGTTTGTTTTGTAGTGTGTCTGTGATGATATATCTGGTGGTTTGTTTTGTAGTGTGTCTGTGATGATATATCTGGTGGTTTGTTTTGTAGTGTGTCTGTGATGATATATCTGGTGGTTTGTTTTGTTTTGTGTTATATCTGTGATAAGATGCTTGGTAGTTTGTTTTTGTGCTATACTGCTTTCATGCTCATGTTTGATCATTCTGTATCTGGCAATATTCATTGAATACCTCTCCACAGTGTATCCTTCAGTACGTACTCTGTCAATATACCAACTATCATCTGTATACTGTTTTATAACAATTCAGAACACTTAAACTACCTTATAATAAAATTCCAAATTGCCATCGTTGGAAAAGAATTAAATGGTAGAAAGATGGTCATTCACAGGAGCTTGAGTGATCACTTTTCAACAATCTTCATTATCAGATAGTCATAGTATTTTGGTTACTATTCTCGCCCTCACCTTACGCTTAAGTCGTCATCCTCTCCTCCCCAACCAAAATATTTGTTCGAGAATCCGTTTATCCTAACAAAGACTTCTTTGGGTAATTGTGAGACTCCTCCAAACAGATTTTTGTAAGGAAGTCTGCAAGCAAAACAGTGTTAACTACAATGTCATACAAGCAGTGATTCAACATGTGAACTGTGTAACACGTTTTATTTCATGTTGTTTCTGGTGATGTGTTGAGGCATATCTTTAAAAGAATCCTGTTGTTTCTGGTGATGTTTCGAGGGAGATATTTAATAATACCTGTTGTTTGTGGTGATGTTTCGAGGAAGATATTTGATAATACCTGTTGTTTCTGGCGATGTTTCAAGGGATATTTTTTAAATTTCATGTTGTCTTTCGTAACGGATCAAGGAATATCGATAAACAATAAAGTGAATATGAAATAAAACCAGGACACTAAGGTCTTAAAATTTAACAACTAAGAACAGTAACACAATATACTACCAGGACTACTTCTAAAATAGAATTGGTCATCCAAATGAACTGATCAAATCTATGGTTTGGTCCTGTCTCTTTTTCAGTACCGTGAATTATAAAGTTAAGTTCAGAATTCTCCTAATCACATTATCTTAATGTATTTATATTTGTTTGGATAAACTTACATATGCATATGTTGATGCAATTTGTAAAATAATATCGGCTACAATACATGTTTATTTCTTTTATTGTAAAATGTTGCCGATTCTTTCACCTGTATTGGAATTTATCAATAGCAGCCGATAGATGGCGGGGCTGCTTGCCACATCCGTAGTGAATCCGGTCATCCTCCGGTATCAGGTCAACGTCATGGAAAACGAAACAATTGTAGTTGTTGATCTTCACAGACTCGGCGTAACCGATGTTCATCAACAAGGCCCGGTTAAACGTGCTGTTACCAGACTGTTATTGTAACAATCCAAATTATACCAATTATGTCAGGTAATGTTAAGGTAAGGACAGACGTTTAAATGTTTGTGTTCTATTTGTTGAAGGATAACAATGATTGCTGTATGTTATATGAAATGAAATAAACAAGACTTTATATCTAACCTGTCAGAATTAATGAATGAGGGTTTGACATTTACGTAGTAGAGTTATTCCAATGAAGGCAAGTTGAAAATACACGTGAATAATATATAGAAATGCAAATGAATTCATAGATACAGTAAATGCCTGTAATAAGTTGTGACATGTCGCAGTTTTGTTTTCGTCTTCAGCCTGGAGTCGAACAAGGGGTGATGAGATGCATTTTTCTACATATCATGTATCCCTCCATGTATATGTATCTTGCGCCCCTCATCGGTGCCGATAATTTGTACCCCATCTTTTTTTGTACATATAGACTGAAGTTAATGTCATTCAGATCTATATATTATATAACAACAGTGATTGATATTATGGTTGTATTTGAAATGTTCCTGACATTTAATAAATGACCATTTGACAACATTTCTTTTCTCTGCTGTTTTTTGTTTATAAGATATGTACAACAAACAACAAGCTGCAGTCTCTAAGCTGGGTTACCATGCTAACACAAATGAAATTATAGATACAGTAAATGCCTGTAATAAGTTGCGACATGTCGCAGTTTTGTCTTCGTCTTCAGCCTGGAGACGAATAATTAATAAAACTGCTTCACATCACTGTTCCATCCTACTATTATACAAAGTGATCCTAGCAGCCGAATTATTAATAAAACTGCTTCACATCACTGTACCATCCTACTACTTGATTTTTAACCAAAGGATAGATACAGAAAGCATTAACCTCATTGCTGAATTTCAATTTGGTATGACTTCCAAGAATTAAAATTTACCATGCGAAATAACACGTGCATCACAGAGCATTTTGTTTTCGGGAGATTCGTCGTTAATACCATGGATATGAAGGGTGGATGTCAAGAAGTCGAGTTTAGAAATTAAAAATTGACCAAAAACAAAAGATATCATATAGATTTGAATGTGAGCCCATGCTTGGTAGTTCATTACATATAATATAAAATAAGTCTTCAGATTCAGTTTCACCACTTTTATATTTACCTGTTCATGTAGGTTGAAAAAAGACCACCAACAGATAACCATTCCTACCTGCTATCAGCAAAGTAAACAACCCCCAGCTACCATCAAAGTAAACCACCCAAGCCATCAGCAAATTACACGAGAATAGCACAACACAGTCTCTTCACCAAGCTATCAGCACAGTTTACCCCCCTCCCCCAGCTATCGGCACATTTAACCACAACAAGCTAACAGTAAAACATTTAGCAACCCCAACTATCAGCACAGTAAATTATACAAAACTGCCACCACAGTTAACCATTCTCAGTTACAGCACAGTTAAGTAACCCCTGCTATCAGCATAGTCTACCATCTCAGCTATCGGCACGACTAACCATCCCAGCTATCAGTATATTTGTTGTCCCCAGTTATCAACGTAGTTAACCACCACAGCTATCAGCATAGTTAACCGTTCCATCTATCAGTACAGTAAACCACCCGAGCTATAAACACAGTTAACTACACCAAGCGATCAGCATAGTTAACCAGCCCTAGCTGCAGCACAGTTAACAACCCGCAGTTATTAGCAAAATTAACCATCCCCAGCTATCAGCACAGTTTATCACCATAGCTACCATCAGAGTTAACCATCCCTATTTATAAGCCAAGTTAACCATGCAGCGCTATCTCATAATAATGTTTATCAAGCCTATACCTATTGATTAACGTCGTTAAACATTACTGTAGTAACAATGAATAAACTGCATTCTGCTCCTTCAGAAAAAGAATTGGCATAGCCCATGGAGCGCTTTGAAATAAGTCATACAAATGGTTTATCAATATACCAATATACATTGTTCGTATTTTTTCGACAGCTTATGTGATTCTCTTCATTTGAAATGAAGAACCAATCTTAATGTTAATTGACGTATGTTTTAATGGATAAATGGCGAGCAGATCATATTCCTCCGGCATCTTTGGATTTATTCATCACGCCTACTCTAAAGACGATTTGTTTGAGAGAAAACCATTTTCCTTTTCTAGATCTGTGTAGTAATCATTGCTTTGTGAAGTATTTAAACATTGTATGATGGTACACTAAAATCACAACGAGAACAACAGATCAAATCTTACAACAGGAACGTTATTTGGAGACATAACACCATAGTTATATTTATAATAATATTACCTGCTCTATAACGTAAATTCCGTAGTGTATTTGCTGTCGTTGAAGAATGGGGTGGATGTTATAGAGAAAAGTCTTTAACTGTTGCTGTCTGTTCCTATATGGTATAATGACGGCCACTCTGTGATCACTTTGACACTCCAGAGGAGTATAACAGCCACCGGCAAGTAACCACGAGTATTCTTTTTCTATCTCTGGAAAGGATGGCGATCTCTTATAAGTAGCCAGTGGTCCAACTGTAAAGAGAAACGCGACTAACGATGGAGAGCATATTTCATCATACAGAGCTACTGGACTCGATTAAATACGTAAATGTATATCTAATACTGCAAAACACTAAATAAAAACTGAAATTTGAGGATTAGGCATAAAAAATCATGAAAAAGAATATCCTTATATTGCTTATCTGATATTTTTCATTTTAATCTGTTACTTAATTTGTCTTTAATTACTAAGTAAAAGAGCATTAAAACATTGAAACGCCATTTTATTGAGTTATTCCCCTTTGCAGTTGTTCGTTTTTTTACAATCGTGTTCAACAACAAAGTACTGATAATTTCCGCATTCATCTCAATGTCAAAGTCAATGTTGACAAGTAATAAACATGAAATTAATCAAACATTGCCACTAGTTGTTATAAGTTTTGATCCCAATGCGTTCAAACTACCGAACATACAACAAAATGACGTCCATTTCCTTAAGTTTGAGAGTTCTTTTTACTCATGTACTGTTTTAAAACAAGGACGAATTTATTTTAGTTAAGTATTTCTAAATAGTATACAAATATTGGGCACTCACTATTTATGTCTTATACGTGTGATTTACAAAGGTTTGTCTTACTAAGCCTACCGAATAGATTATAAATTATTCAATTACGGTACTGTTGCACCTTCCCGTCTAGATTTTGACTTTTCTTTCGATCACTTTAGATTTTCCTCAGTCGCCTACGATGCTTCGTGATAGCAGAACGAAACAGCTGTATGACGCTTTTAAATTGATTTTAAACCTAATGTATCTAAGTATCAATTTTAAAAAAAAGGTGTTATTCATTTGTTTATCTTTTGTACTATCTTATAATTATAAATAATGAGAAATAGAAAATAATATTATGAATTATGTATTATCAAGACATCAAGGACTAAACCTTCCGCTGATCTGAATCAACATTTCAATGATAATTTTATCTTTATTTTCATACAATAACTTAGTGTAATATTACAGCATTGGAACATAGTAACGACTATGTTTATTGCTCTGTTATTGATACTATGGGCAGTTGAAAAAGAAACAGTTCGGCATTCATACAGTATCATTAATTATAAGTAGCAGGTGCGTCAATACTACTGTGAATAATTTGTCATTGAATGATAAGTAGCAGGTGCGTCAATACTACTGTGAATAATTTGTTATTGAATGATAAGTAGCAGGTGTATCGATACTGCTGTGAATAAATTGTTATTGAAAGATAAGTAACAGGTGTATCGATACTACTGTGAATAAATTGTCATTGAATGATATGTAACATGTATGTCAATACTACTGTGAATAAATTGTTATTGAATGATAAGTAACAGGTGTATCGATACTACTGTGAATAAATTGTTATTGAATGATAAGTAACAGGTGTATCGATACTACTGTGAATAAATTGTCATTCTCCCCAATGATAACTCTAAAACAATATAAACCTTTTTCCCAAGAAAGCGAAATAGAGGATAGAAAAGGATTAGTTATTACATAGTGTCGGACAGTTTCATTTCAAATTACATTGACTGCTGCATTCAAATTTCCACCCTCTCAAAAATACAAATCGTAGGTATAAACAATACACGTAAATGTCCAGCTTCTACAACGTACGAGACATGATCACATCAAAGGGAATGCCGTATAGACAAGGTCGTGGGTACTTTTTACCGCAGTAAGCGTAGAATCAGCGATTTTGGCATAGATATAACAAAGTACCCATTAGAGACGAGAGCGTGTTACAACCGGACAAGGAAATAGCTAGATAGCCATGTCTACCTGTATTACTGAATTTGTCAGGTAATAACTTGGTTTACGCTTGATCAATCAAGCACTCATTGGAAAAAATCAAACATTTTTCTTCAAGGTAATATATGTGTGACTAAGAATTGTGGCTCATAGAATATATATATATATAAATGGATTGAGAGTCGGGTATTAGTTTCAAATCCCTATGGTCCGAGTCTGGGCAGCGGAGCAGTAAGTAGAAAACATACGACCTACCTAGTTTTGGCGGGTTCTCAGGACATTTGGCTAGCGAACTCTGGATGGTATCATTGGTTACGTCCGTCCTCATATATGAACTTCCATTGAATTGCACAGTTCCATTGAATCGTTGAACTATTTGTTCTATTTCATATGATATATTTCTACTATAAGTCAGCAAATTGCTCATTCTAGTGTGAATACCATGGTAACTGAAGCGTTCATACACCATGAAGAACACTAGATTTGAAGCCGTGAGGACAAGAACGGCAATTATGCCACTTTTAAATACGTAGCTTCGCGAACATCTACTATTTTCCGCCATTCCTCGAATTTCAAAATATTCCGCATCCGAATTTTCTGGAAAAAAAAGAAAGAGAGCATACCAGACATATAAGGCAAGAACAACTGTAACGTATACAGCATTTGTCGCGTATCACGTGGTAATTTTCATCAATTACTTAGTTTCTACGTACACACCGACAGATACCAACAGATGCAACCCAATTCAATGAACAGTGACAACTGTTGCCGTCATTTCGAGTCATACTATGTACAAATCAATTTTCGTTTTGTTTTTTTTTTTGTATTTTTTCATTACAATAGTGTCGTATTTCTGAAAGATAAAATACTGATGTGGTGATTTTGTTTATCTGAAAGCGAGACATATGTTTAGGAGTATGTCTTTGTGAACAGTTAACAGATGGTCAATTTCAATGACACAAACCAAACGTTTTGTCATTTTTTGTAGACCTTCATCATTGACATATTTAGGTAAAAGCTGTCTTTAAAACACGAATTAAAATATTTTTTTACAGTAAGTCTATTGGTATTGTAGACGGCAGGGAAGTCAATTTCGTCCATTCTGTTAATAATGGTACATTTTGCGAGAGGTACTGAAAACACTATCAATTTAACAATTAACATATCAGTTTATAGTCTATAGTACCAACTAAAATCTTCAATGATGAAAGCTTTTATCTACCATTTAGCAGTTATAAAATTGAAATTTGTGATGATCTAAAATTTGTTTTCAATATTTTGGAAGTGTACAAAGCTAGGACAGTTCATCAGGATCAATCATTTTGTTGAAAGATATGAGTCTACCGTGATAATACCTGCAAGGGTTAAGGAAACCCAGATGCTAAAGCTGACAAACCCTCTGCAAATTTCGGGAGCAGTTATGCCCTGACTAAATTAATGAAACATTCTTTATCCTTCTATAAAATAAAAACTCACAACAAATGTAAAATGAAAAAGTATCTCCATGTTATTAAACTTAGTTTGTATGTATTATTGTGCTTATTTTTTGTGTGACATGAAGATGGACGTAATTGATGCTCGTTAGCTTACCTGTTGTTTCAATTGCGAACACTGTGATAACGAAGTTCTATTATATATGTAGTGTAACACCCGGGATTACGAAGTTCTATTATATATGTAGTGTAACACTGAGATAACGAAGTTCTATTATATATGTAGTGTAACACCCGGGATTACGAAGTTCTATTATATATGTAGTGTAACACTGAGATAACGAAGTTCTATTATATATGTAGTGTAACACCCGGGATAACGAAGTTCTATTATATATGTAGTGTAACACTGGGATAACGAAGTTCTATTATATATGTAGTGTAACACCCGGGATTACGAAGTTCTATTATATATGTAGTGTAACACTGGGATAACGAAGTTCTATTATATATGTAGTGTAACACTGGGATAACGAAGTTCTATTATATATGTAGTGTAACACCCGGGATTACGAAGTTCTATTATATATGTAGTGTAACACTGGGATAACGAAGTTCTATTATATATGTAGTGTAACACTGAGATAACGAAGTTCTATTATATATGTAGTGTAACACCCGGGATTACGAAGTTCTATTATATATGTAGTGTAACACTGGGATAACGAAATTCTATTATATATGTTGTGTAACACTGAGATAACGAAGTTCTTTATGTGTTTTTTGCTTGTAAATAGATCAGATAATTAAAAAGATAAAATCAACACAGTAAGTAGTTCGTTTATGATTTCAGGCCTAGCGGCCATCTTCAGGCGATTGTTTTTAATGATTTTGTTACACCAAATTCCATGTCATTAAAAACTATCGCCTGAAGATGGCCGTTAGGCCTGAAATCGTTAGCGAAGTATTGATTTTTTTTATCTTTTAATGACATATATACTTATATATCTATGTCATATATATGAATATATATATTTGGGATACCTATTGTATTACAATACCTGGTACTCATTTGATAATTTGATAGCAGAGTCTTATAGCAATATCATTTTGAATACAATCACTTTGTGTTAATCAATAATTTGCACGTTGAAAATATTCAAGATTACCCCTGATACTTGAATATAGTGTTTTATTAGTAATAAAGCGAAACGTTTACCTTGTGATATCCTTGTGTGAAGGCTGTAAACGGTGCTGTGACATCCCCTGGTCAGCAGTCATTGGGTTTAGGAAAACATCACGTCACATGTTGTTTCATTTTCTCTCCAATATGGTATTTCGTCTACTTCCGGTTTTTGTCCAGGGAGAAATCCTAGATAAGGGTCAGTGTGTGACGTCTCTGGACGATAACGATGTTTGTCGAAACTCTTATATCAGGTAAAACCACTAGGTTTGTTATCAGTAAAGCCTGCTTACCTGTACCTGTAGAGACTTAATGGCGTTCAAACCTTCCTTAAAGCCATTAGCGCAATATCCTCGTGTAAAGGTAGAGTGCATTCGAGTTATTCACTTATATACTAAATTTACTAGGTTTTGGATGAGTTCACTTTTTTACAGAAAAAAACTTGAACCTGAAAATGCAATTTTTTCTTTACGAAGTATTTGTTTGTACGATGTTCGATGGTCTAGCTGAAGGCCTAAATATATGTGGATTTTTCTTCATGTTTCCCATTTTTCTTTATCTATTTATTTACAACTACATTCTTTATTCTAGTGTTAATGTCTCAGTGGTATTCAATATTCTATAACTTACTGACTATTGAATTGACATGTCTGCATACTTGTTTGTTATTGTATGGAGAAGATTTTGATAGGTTATGCCTTGTGTCCAATTCCTATTTTCACTACAAAGAGTAATGATATGTTAAAATAAAATCCATTCAGTTGTTGTGAAAATCATCACTTGATACAAGGATTTACCAAAGGCATCACTTATTCAATACAACTTTTCCACAACATTTGCTTGAGTTAATCAATTAATTAATCTTTTGTCGTTTGATGGGGTATCCTAAAGGGATTTCAAATCAAATTACATGTCGGAAGCTATGATATTTCGAGAAAATTATTAGACTAAATGATTAATTAACTGTTTCACAAGAAGTATGTTGAATTTTTTTAAATATATGAGAAATCATATCTTGTAGCATATAGTTTTACTCTTATACATGTGAAAACTAAAGCAATGCAGAATCATGATTACAAGAGTTGAAAGACGTCGTGCTTTGAGAGGAATAAGAAGACAGTTATAGATAAGAAAAGATGGAGGAAGGGACAGAGAAAGAATAATAAGGAATAATAAAGATTCATTTTCACCTTTGCCAACAGATGTATAGTTCTGAGTGGTATACATACATTTTAATCAGGTTCTTTAGGGCAGAAATGAACAACGTAGTTTGCAGACTTCTGGCGTAGTGTATATATAGTTTCAAGATCAGCATTACTAAGTTATCCACACTGTTTTTATCATATAAACCAAATGATAAATGTTTCCCAATGAAAGCAAATGGAATCAATAACACATCTAACAGACTCAACATTTGATTATAAAAAATGTACTTCTTCACAATCCCAAGGCGTGTGAACTTCAGTTTTATAATGGAAACGAAATGGACTATCAGCCAGACCTGTTTTATAAAAGTATGTGCTACTTATCAAAATGTGTTGATTAATTCTAAATTGAAGCCATTGTAACTCTGCCTCCATTTATCTTTGTCAAATTCAAATATGTCCTCCCATGTTTTCTTCTGGTAGATATGGAAGCGTTTGATTCCTTACGATTTATGTGACACTTTCTTTTATTGATATTTCCTTTTTGCCAGTGCAAGTATTAAATTAATGATTCTAATTGGATTTTTAGGCTAAACGTACTCAGTACGCATAGCCTATTGCGACGGCCTTTCAGACAAAATTTACCGATCCTGGCTTTCTCATTGGCTGAAATATCGAAAAGAGTTAGAGCCCTCTAGCGGCAATTTTCTGCTTAAATAATGCTGCGATTTTTCATATTACGTATAACTTTTACACATTTTGGCATTTTACGTAGGTTAACATATACTACAGGTTTTAATGGATTATTGTGAGATAACTGTATTCTTACTGATGTCGCCAGAACTGTAACAAGCCATTCTTCAAATACAGAGAATAACATTATCCTGAAAATGACTAGTAATCCTTACCGAGGTAAGATATCTTTAGTGTATGACACCACTTTGGTGGTGAATCGCAGGGACAGTGGTTTTGCTGTACATCACAAACTATGAACTGGTTTTCCAGTTATTTACATCAACGTTCATGGTTGATCGACATGACATATAACCCTATAGTGCGTTATTTATTGTTATATAGCTCCCTATACAAACACTCCACCCAGATGTCACAGTTGATAACTCCATAAAATACGTTTCGTTGTTATGTGTAACTCTGGAACAGTAGAGTGTTAGTTATTTAAAAAAAAAACCTCCATATCAATTGATATAACCAAGTGATTTTCAATATCGCATTATATTTCAACAGACCGGCAAGTCCTTGTACACATGTTTCTACGTGAATTGATTAAAACGTGAGTTGCATGTCCACTCGCGGTGTAAATGCCACCTGTAATCTAGCAGATTCTAGAAAAGACAAAAACACGTACAAGAAAGTCATAATTACTCAAATTCACCGACAGATGGATTAATCAATATACTAGCAGCTTTACATAGCTCTTACATAGCAAATTTGAATGTTCAGGAAACCTGATACCACCACATGTTAATCTATAATACTTATTTCATATTACAGTGATATCATCACGTGTTAATCTATAATACTTATTTCATATTACAGTGATATCATCACGTGTTAATCTGTAATACTTATTTCATATTACAGTGATATCATCACGTGTTAATCTGTAATACTTATTTCATATTACAGTGATATCATCACGTGTTAATCTATAATACTTATTTCATGTTACAGTGATATAATCACATGATAATCTGTAATACTTATTTCATATTACAGTGATATCATCACATGATAATCTGTAATACTTATTTCATGTTACAGTGATATCATCACGTGTTAATCTATAATACTTATTTCATGTTACAGTGATATCATCACGTGTTAATCTGTAATACTTATTTCATGTTACAGTGATATCATCACGTGATAATCTATAATACTTATTTCATGTTACAGTGATATCATCACGTGATAATCTATAATACTTATTTCATGTTACAGTGATATCATCACGTGATAATCTATAATACTTATTTCATGTTACAGTGATATCATCACGTGATAATCTATAATACTTATTTCATGTTACAGTGATATCATCACGTGATAATCTATAATACTTATTTCATGTTACAGTGATATCATCACGTGATAATCTATAATACTTATTTCATGTTACAGTGATATCATCACGTGATAATCTATAATACTTATTTCATGTTACAGTGATATCATCACGTGCTAATCTATAATACTTATTTCATGTTACAGTGATATCATCACGTGATAATCTATAATACTTATTTCATGTTACAGTGATATCATCACGTGATAATCTATAATACTTATTTCATGTTACAGTGATATCATCACGTGTTAATCTATAATACTTATTTCATATTACAGTGATATCATCACGTGTTAATCTATAATACTTATTTCATATTACAGTGATATCATCACGTGTTAATCTATAATACTTATTTCATATTACAGTGATATCATCACGTGTTAATCTGTAATACTTATTTCATATTACAGTGATATCATCACGTGTTAATCTGTAATACTTATTTCATATTACAGTGATATCATCACGTGTTAATCTGTAATACTTATTTCATATTACAGTGATATCATCACGTGTTAATCTGTAATACTTATTTCATGTTACAGTGATATCATCACGTGTTAATCTGTAATACTTATTTTATGTTACAGTGATATCATCACATGATAATCTGTAATACTTATTTCATATTACAGTGACATCATCACGTGTTAATCTATAATACTTATTTCATGTTACAGTGATATCATCACATGATAATCTGTAATACTTATTTCATATTACAGTGACATCATCACGTGTTAATCTATAATACTTATTTCATGCTACAATGTACCATCATTTACTTATCCAGTTACCTATTTATTTATTGATGTCTTAACATAATAATTTTTGTCCTGTCATTATCTGTTATAATGGATTTTCCGTTAAAAAGTCATATGACTTTATATATTTGTTATGGATATTTAAACACAAAATATTCCAAGAGGATAGCGAAAAAAATTGGTATATTGGATAACACATGTGCTAGTATCAGAGAGGAAACAAACACGGATTACAAGGGGGAAATCTGTGCTGGAGTTAAAAGACAATTGTGAGAAATAACGGTGAGTTGTACAATCTGTTTGAATTAGTTAAAATATGTAAAATACTAAAATCATTTTAGCTTTGCGGAACTAGTGGTATATTTTAACGTTTTGGTGAACAAGGACATAGTTTCTGTGGATTATTGATATGTTTCAATGAGAAAAGGAGAACGATGATTTATATTCTCCTCAGAACGAGATTTTAAAAAAACTATTGTGTAAACTGTTTGCAATATGTACAAAAAAGAAATCTTATCGCCATTCTTATTAATACTAATGTTCAATAATGAAATTTTATTCATTCATCTGTACAAAATGTATTATTAGCTTAATCATAACTAAATACATACATGGTAAGCTTTTGAGTACCTACATGTAATGTATAGACATTAAAGGATATTGGATTCGTCCCCTCAACATATATACAGGCCATACGGACCATGCATCTAGCACCCTAGCCATTTACAACTTAGAATCAAAACTTAGCAAATAGATATACATAAGTACTTGTCAAGTACGTTATACATGGACGAAAATACTCTAAAACTATTTTAATTGCGTCAAAGAAGCGGATTGCATAAATAATAAAGAGTCGGATTGTATCATCTGTTTGTCCTGATGGAACATCTGTTTATCTTATGTAGTCTACGGTTTCATTCAGGATTCATAAACATATGCAGTTTAAAATTTCACATCCTTATTACCCGTATAATTTACCGGGTGATGTCCCTCCACGTATGTATTCTTTCAATTGCTTTTACATATATATTAGATATGTGTGGATTCCATTAGGTCTCATTAACATGTGTACGGCCCAGATGTGTATGTAGTTACTTTCAGAAATCGGTTAACTATCAACAAAGAAATAAAGATAGAAAGATTTCTTTTTTTTTTTGGATATTTTTCCTTGAGAAAATTATAAATTCATTCTTAAAATGATCAAATCTAATGTGTCGTTTATTTGCCTAAATCTTAATATTAGTTTAGTCATCAGGGAGATTTGTGCTATTTCAACAGGATTCTTATCAGGTAGTCACGTATACCATACAAGAAGAAGTCCAATCTTCTAGAAACACATTCAACGATAACATTTAAAAACATTAAAAACAATTAAGAACGGAGAACCGAGCCTTGGGGAACTCCTACTTGAACAGGGTCAAAGGGTGAGGTATGACATTAAATTTGTACCCTCTGTTTTCTGTATTACAAATAGTAACCGAAGAAAGTCAAAGTCATCTATGTTCCCTTCCGGGAGAGCATTTCTCTTATTCTACACTGTGAAGGGAACCACTGTAAAGGGTACCTCTGTGAAGGGTACCTCTGTGAAGGGTACTACTGTGAAGGGTACCATTGTGAAGGGTACCTTTGTGAAGTGTACGACTGTGAAGGGTACCTCTGTGAGGGTACCTCTGTGAAGGGAACCACTGTAAAGGGTACCTCTGTGAGGGTACCACTGTGAAGGGTACCTCTGTGAAGGGAACCTTTGTGAGGGTACTACTGTGAAGGGTACTATTGTGAAGGGAACCTTTGTGAGGGTACTGCTGTGAAGGGTACCTCTGTGAGGGTACTACTGTGAAGGGTACTACTGTGAAGGGTATCTCTGTGAAGGGTACCACTGTGAAGTGTCCTCTGTGATGGGTAATACTGTCAGGGTACTACTGTGAAGGGAACCACTGGGAAGGGACTGTGAATGGTACCTTTCTGAAGGGAACCACTGTGAAGGGTACCTCTGTGAAGGGTACCACTGTGAAGGGTACCACTGTGAGGGTACTACTGTGAATGGAACCTCTGTGAGGGTACCACTGTGAAGGGTACCTCTGTGAAGGGTACCACTGTGAAGGTAACCTCTGTGAGGGTACATCTGTGAAGGGTACCACTGTGAAGGGTACCTCTGTGAAGGGTACTACTGTGAAGGGAACCTCTGTGAAGGGTACTACTGTGAAGGGTACTACTGTGACGCGTACCACTGTGAAGGGTACCACTGTGAAGGGTACCTCTATGAAGGATATTACTGTGAAGGGAACCTCTGTGAGGGTACTGCTGTGAAAGGAACCTCTGTGATGGTACTACTGTGAAGGGAACCTCTGTGAGGGTACTACTGTGAAGGGAACTTCTGTGATGGTACTGCTGTGAAGGGAACCTCTGTGATGGTACTACTGTGAAGGGAACCTATGTGAGGGTACTGCTGTGAAGGGTACCACTGTGAAGGGTACTACTGTGAAGGGTACCTCTGTGAAGGGTACCACTGTGAAGGGTACTACTGAGAAGGGTACCTCTGTAAAGGGAACCTTTGTGAGGTTACTACTGTGAAGGGTACCTCTGTGAAGGGTATCACTGTGAAGGTTACTACTGTGAAGGGTACCTCTGTGAATGGGAACCTTTGTGAGGGTACTACTGTGAAGGGTACCTCTGTGAAGGGTATCACTGTGAAGGTTACTACTGTGAAGGGTACCTCTGTGAATGGTACTACTGTGAGGGTACTGCTGTGAAGGGTACCACTGTGAAGGGTACCGCTGTGAAGGGTACCTCTGTGAAGGTTACCACTGTGAGGGGTACTACTGTGAGGGTACTACTGTGAAGGGTACCACTGTGAAGGGTACCGGTGTGAGGGTACTACTGTGAAGGGTACCACTGTGAAGGGTACCTCTGTGAAGGGTACCTCTGTGAAGGGTACTACTGTGAGGGTACTACTGTGAAGGGTACTACTGTGAAGGGTACCACTGTGAAGGGTACCGCTGTGAAGGGTACTACTGTGAAGGGTACCACTGTGAAGGGTGCCACTGTGAAGGGTACTACTGTGAAGGTTACTACTGTGAATTGTTCTACTATGAAGGGTACTACTGTGAAGGGTACCACTGTTACGGGTACCTCTGTGAGGGTACTACTGTGAAGGGAACCTCTGTGAGGGTACTGCTGTGAAGGGTACTATTGTGAAGGGTACCACTGTGAAGGGTACCACTGTGAAGAGTACCACTGTGAAGGGTACCATTGTGAAGGGTACCACTGTGAAGGGTACTACTGTGAAGGGTGCCACTGTGAAGGGTACCACTGTGAAGGGTACCTCTGTGAAGGGTACCACTTTGAAGGGTACCACTGTGAAGGGTACCTCTGTGAAGGGTACTACTGTGAAGGGTACTACTGTGAAGGGTACCACTGTGAAGGGTACTACTGTGAAGGGTAGTACTGTGAAGGGTACTACGGTGAAGGTTATCACTGTAAAGGGTACTTCTGTGAAGGGTACTACTGTGAAGGGTGCCAATGTGAAGGGAACCTCTGTGAAGGGTACTACTGTGAAAGGTACTACTGTGAAGGGTGCCACTGTGAAGGGTACTACTATAAAGGGTACCTCTGTGAAGGGCACCTCTGTGAAGGGTACTACTGTGAAGGGTACCACTGTGAAGGGTACCACTGTGAAGGGTACTACTGTGAAGGGTACCTCTGTGAAGGGTACCACTGTGAAGGGCACTACTGTGAAGAAAACTGAGACAAAAGGGCAATCCAGTTAAGTTTTCACTCAGGTAGAATTATGTTCGAAATATACAGACACATGTCATCAAACTATGCATTAATTAATATAAATCGGAAATATAACGAACTCATTAAGTCTATAATTTGTGTTTATTTACAAATATTGGATAGATAACGTATGCAAATGAAGTCAACGCTAGCCTGATAATCGTCTTCACATTGTATGCTTATTTATTATCACTAATTGATGTCAGCTACTATACAAAGTCTTAATAATTAACTCAAATAAGTATAAAATATATAAATATAAACTTCCTTCCTTCTTAACGTCCATTCGAGGAATGGCCCCTGGAAGTCCCGATAATGGCGAGAGTTTTACCACTGACCCACCCACCACCAGGTTGCTGCTTCACGTTTAAACACTAGCACTGCCATGTCTATGCAACATGATATAACTAAGGTCTGAATATTGCTGTTTTTTTCTTAAATTATAGCCAACTTTATCAAGAAATTGGTCGGAAATTATCTGATAATCATATTTATCAGTCTCCCAATATATGAGAGTTTGATAAGTGTAGGAGTTACCTCCCATGTAGCATGCTGGTGAGAAACATATGTAACTCATGAGTGTTGACAATTTACCACTTTCGTTTCCAAAGCCAAAACTATCAATCCAAAGGTATCTGTTTTGAATAATATTGACTAAATATTACGCTTCATTATCAATACCTTTTCATTGACGAGACTGTCAAGAAAAACCTTAAAACTTTACTTCTAAATGATTGATATATGCCTCTTCGCCTAGCATTCTGACCAGGAACTCCGGAATTCCATTGCCTCTAACAAATGAGCCAAAGGAGCTTGCTCCGTAATCTGAGCGGCAGAGATTTTTTAACGTAAAAACCAAACCGACCCGCTCTTTGCACGTATGTATCAGTCCTATTGTTTAGTTGACTGATCAGCTACGGTTTCGATGTCCTCAGGTTCCTACACTCGACGCCATTACCAGGATTCGTTGTATTATTTATCTGATAATCATATTTATCAGTCTCCCAATATATGAGAGTTTGATAAGTGTAGGAGTTACCTCCCATGTAGCATGCTGGTGAGAAACATATGTAACTCATGAGTGTTGACAATTTACCACTTTCGTTTCCAAAGCCAAAACTATCAATCCAAAGGTATCTGTTTTGAATAATATTGACTAAATATTACGCTTCATTATCAATACCTTTTCATTGACGAGACTGTCAAGAAAAACCTTAAAACTTTACTTCTAAATGATTGATATATGCCTCTTCGCCTAGCATTCTGACCAGGAACTCCGGAATTCCATTGCCTCTAACAAATGAGCCAAAGGAGCTTGCTCCGTAATCTGAGCGGCAGAGATTTTTTAACGTAAAAACCAAACCGACCCGCTCTTTGCACGTATGTATCAGTCCTATTGTTTAGTTGACTGATCAGCTACGGTTTCGATGTCCTCAGGTTCCTACACTCGACGCCATTACCAGGATTCGTTGTATTATTTTGGCTGATACTGTTTTCGTCAGGTTTCAAAGTCGGGGTCAATATAAGACTCTCGTAACTGATACCTGTATCCAACAGTTCCTTCGTCTATATTGTTCCTAAACATCCTGTTGATATGTCTGGTTTTAGTGATACCTTGTCTCGGTAATGTGTCTAATGAATCCCGCATGGAATACAAAAGATTTCTCCATATTTATAACTTTATTGATATCAAGGGAGGTAATTGGCAATTTTATACATCACGTGTAAAGATAGCGGGTTGTTAGCGAACTTGATTCTGTCCCGATACACATAAAGCAAAAACAAAAGCAAAAAACTGATTAGCTATCAGAACATCCTCCAGCATTGTACGTAAGTCCAACAAAATTATTCTTCCAGCATCCATCTACATTAAAACAATAACACTGGAAAGGAACGGAAAAACTGTTTCCAAATAAGAGCGTGTTGCTCGCCTTTCTCGCCTAGAATGTTTGTATTGAAAGCCAGGCTGTTTAAGTGTTGTCAAACATTGTTACAGTTTATATCATGTATAAAACATTGGCATCTTTTAAGAAGGGATTTCAACTGTAGTTCACGTAACTGTTACTGTTCTATATGTAATCAGTAACTGTTCTATATGTAATCAGTAACTGTTCTATATGTAATCAGTAACTGTTCTTTATGTTATCTGTAACTGTTCTTTATGTTACCTGTAACTGTTCTATATGTAATCAGTAACTGTTCTTTATGTTACCTGTAACTGTTCTATATGTTACCTCTGTCTGTTCTTTATGTTACCTGTAACTGTCCTCTATGCTACCTGTGACTGTTCTTTATGTTACCTGTAACTGTTCTATATGTAATCAGTAACTGTTCTTTATGTAATCTGTAACTGTTCTATATGTAATCAGTAACTGTTCTATATGTAATCAGTAACTGTTCTGTATGTTACCTGTAACCTTTCTATATGTTACCTGTAACTGTTCTATATGTAATCAGTAACTGTTCTTTATGTAATCTGTAACTGTTCTATATGTAATCTGTAACTGTTCTTTATGTTATCTAAAACTGTTCTTTATGTAATCAGTAACTGTTCTATATGTAATCAGTAACTGTTCTTTATGTAATCTGTAACTGTTCGATATGTTATCTGTAACTGTTCTTTATGTAATCTGTAACTGTTCGATATGTTATCTGTAACTGTTCTTTATGTATTCAGTAACTGTTCTTTATGTAATCTGTAACTGTTCTTTATGTAATCTGTAACTGTTCGATATGTTACCTGTAACTGTTCTTTATGTTACCTATAACTGTTCTATATGTTACTTGTAACTGTTCTACATATTACTTGTAGCTGTTCTATATGTTACCTGCAACTTTTCTACATGTTACCTGTAACTGTTGTATATCCTACCTGTAACTGTTCTACATGTTACCTGTAACTGTTCGATATGTTATCTGTAACTGTTCTTTATGTTACCTATAACTGTTCTATATGTTACTTGTAACTGTTCTACATATTACTTGTAGCTGATCTATATGTTACCTGTAACTTTTCTACATGTTACCTATAACTGTTCTATATGTTACCTGTAACTGTTCTAAATGTTACCTGTAACTGTTCTACATGTTACCTGTAACTGTTCTATATCCTACCTGTAACTGTTCTACATGTTACCTGTAACTGTTCGATATGTTATCTGTAACTGTTCTTTATGTTACCTGTAACTATTCTACATATTACCTGTAACTGTTCTATATGTTACCTTTGTTCTGTATGCTACCAGTAACTGTTCTATATGTTACCTATAAATGTTCTATATGTTACCTGTAACTGTTCTATATGTTAACTGTAACTGTTCTATATCTTACCTGTAACTGTCCTTTATGTTACCTTTGTTCTGTATGTTACCAGTAACTGTTCTACATGTTACCTGTAATTGTCCTATATTTTCCCTCTGTTCTACATGTTACCTGTAACTGTCCTTTATGTTATCTTTGTTCTATATGTAACCAGTAACTGTTCTCTCTGTTACCTGTAACTGTTCTATATGTTATCTGTAACCGTTCTCCATGTTATCTGTAATCTGTAACTGTTCCTTCCTCCTTCCCTCCGCATTTTTTTCATCTGCTAGCCTAGCTACCTGAATGCGGTGGGGTTTTCTCATTTAAAAAAATAGCCTAAGCGATGATGTACTAGCTAACTGAACGTGGCCTGTAACATTACAGACGTTTTCTGTGTGGTGTTCTAGAGTAAATCATAAGTTAAACAATGATAACGACATGTGAACGGTTAATATTTTATTTTACTGAATGTTCAACATTCTATATAATATTCTATGAATGGTTAATGTTGATTTCATGAAGATCACACGATGTTTATCCAAATGATTTCAAAACACCCAAAACATTTTATATAGCACGTACACATTACACAGCACTATCCAGGTGGACGCTTTTGCTTAAAGCTATACACACGTCCCTATCTTCTGAACTTTTTTGAGCTCAACTGTCGGATACAGCTTTGGTCTGTTCATATCTAACAGTTCCGTTTGGTGGCCGGGAGGTCCAGCTCTCACCATGGTGTTCTGGTTCACTTTCACGGAACTCATGTTGCCTGAGCATGTTGGACAATGCTCAGTCAATTTGTTTCCGTTTCTAGAGAGACCAGAACTGTGTCCATTGCTAACTTGATCCAGCATCTGATCATTCAGCAGTTTAACCTGTTCGTCGTAAGCAGGAGGTTCCATATTCCTCATACGTGTGCGATCATTTTCTACAATGGAGTCTTCGTAACAGGATCCTTTCCAATCCGGTGACGTTTTCCGGAAGTGAGTTGCTACAGGTCCTTTGTAATATCCGGTGTAACTCATAAACGTTCTTTGATTATAGAGCGACTTTTTCCAAATACAACAACAAATCGTTTCTTTGAAAGCCTGTCTGTAACGTTTAGACATCACATTGTACAGAATAGGATTAACAGTGGATCCCACGAAATACAGAATACCTGAAATGGATTTCAAAGGTAAAGAAATTAATAAAGATATACCAATTTACTATGACATCAACTCATCACTATACATTTATATGAATCTTAGATGTAGGCATTTCAGTAGGATTACGCTAGTCCTGGAAAGAAACGGTAATTCAAATTGCACAATTGATTGACACATTTTGTATTCTTATTATTATCAACTATTAGATTCAAAAGCATTTTTATCAAACGCATGCCGGTATGTACACCAATAGGTCTTACAGGGGTGGTATGCATTTCAGACATCCTTCAACATAAACATGTGAATATTAAAAATAATCAGAATCAACTATGTGTATGAGCTGTTTACCTGATATAAAGAAAAGATGACTCTGTACTTCGAGTAGGAGTTGTGTCCAGTTGGTGTTGTACAGTGTCATGAGTCGCTGGGCGTGATAGGGCGCCCAACATGCAAAGAAGGCCACAACAACGGCAACTGCAAACGTATAAATGATTCATCGTCAATTATTTTATTCAACTGCCAATGTAAAAAAAAAAATCTCGTCATTTAAAATAATCAACTGTCAATGTATCAATAATATCTCGTCAATTATAATTGTTAACTGTCTATATATGAAGATATCCCGTCAGTTACAATAGTCATCTGTCAAGTTATCAGTGATATATCTAGATTATAATTGTTAACTGTCTATATATGAAGATATCCCGTCAGTTACAATAGTCATCTGTCAAGTTATCAGTGATATATCTAGATTATAATTGTTAACTGTCTATATATGAAGATATCCCGTCAGTTACAATAGTCATCTGTCAAGTTATCAGTGATGTCACAGTTGCCAATGTGTGTGTGATATACATTGTATCGACAATTATCATAGTCAACTTCTAATTTGTAAATAGTGTATACTTAATTATTACAATCAACGATCAACGTATGAAGAGCATCTTGTCAATAATAATGGTCATCTTTATTGTAGAAGGAATATCTCGTCAATAGTTATAGTCAGCTGTCAAAGTAGAAGGAAAATCTCGTCAATAGTTATAGTCAGCTGTCAAAGTAGAAGGAATATCTCGTCAATAGTTATAGTCAGCTGTCAAAGTAGAAGGAATATCTCGTCAATAGTTATAGTCAGCTGTCAAAGTAGAAGGAATATCTCGTCAATAGTTATAGTCAGCTGTCAATGTAGAAGGAAAATCTCGTCAATAGTTATAGTCAGCTGTCAAAGTAGAAGGACTATCTCGTCAATAGTTATAGTCAGCTGTCAAAGTAGAAGGAATATCTCGTCAATAGTTATAGTCAGCTGTCAATGTAGAAGGACTGTCTCGTCAGTTATTATAGTCAACTGTCAATGTAGAAGGAATGTCTTGTCAGTTATTATAGTCAGCTGTCAATGTAGAAGGAATGTCTCGTCAGTTATTATAGTCAGCTGTCAAAGTAGAAGGAATATCTCGTCAGTTATTATAGTCAGCTGTCAATGTAGAAGGAATATCTCGTCAGTTATTATAGTCAGCTGTCAAAGTAGAAGGAATATCTCGTCAGTTATTATAGTCAGCTGTCAAAGTAGAAGGAATATCTCGCCAATAATGAAAAGTCAATGGAAAAGAAATATATCATAAGTCAGCTGTCGGGGTATATTATAATGATAGTCCACTGTCAATGTACGGTATATAAGGACATCAATTATAAAAGTCAGCTGTTGGGGTATATTATAATGAGAGCCCACTGTTAATGTACGGTATATAAAGACATCAATTTTAGTCAGCTGTCGGGGTATATTATAATGATTTCCCACTGTTAATGTAGGATGCATAAAGACTTCAATTAAGAGAGTGACACTAGAAAATGTAATAATTAGGATTAACTTAAAACAATGGTGATTAATAGGGATATCGGTGATAAACTTATAACATCACAATGAACCAAGAACATTTAAAACAAATTTTGAATCATGGCAGTAAAATGTAACACATACAGGATATAAAATAAGTTTTTATTTAACACGAAATTTTATGAACCAGTCGAAGAAGTGATTATTTTTTCGAGCCTTGGCGAGTCTCATAGGGAATGATAAGATGCTTTTTATCTCATGCCTCCAAAAATGTTACATTTTGACAGGTTTTAATGTCAAAATGTGGAAGACAAAATCAAAGGAAGACAGGCATTTCATTGTGTCATTTTCAATTTATGATGTAAGGTAATTTTCCATATTATGACACCACAATCAATTTGTGACTGGTGCAGTCAGAGAAAAACGCCTCACGGTATGTTACACTAATAAATACACAAAGCAGGACAGTTTGAATGTTATATTGAATGTTAAAAACAAATACCTGTGCTGTCCTTACGGCTAATTGATTAGGAAATGTGGAAACACGGAAAATATTTCTCATTAATTCTAGGTTCCAACTTTGGTGTAGTTTACATAACGATATGAAATTGAGGAAATAATACATAATGTACCTAACAATAATTGTTTTATGGTCGACTTTATTACATGACCTATAGCGGAGTTGTAACTGACTAAAGAGTCTCATTGTTACGCCATAAAATCATGGTGACATATACATTATGACGCAATTAACGAAATAAAAGTCAAAAAGATAGAGAGTGAAAATAACGTCAATTAAAATTTTGTATCAGTGAATTAAATGTCATTTTTAGGATTATTTACAAAATCCTGTGATAAATTGAATTATAACTTCGTTTCCATTTCATGTAGATTTATTAAACAAATATCCGATTTTCTCCTTACCTGAAAAGTTTCATAAATTATACAAATGAAATGGAAATAAATGTGAGATTTTGTATAAAACCAGAATCAGTGATATAGGCTTCTATGCTATGTACGTTATTTGTTATGTGGAAACAGTCATACCTAACATCCTGAGGACTACTTTTATGGAATGTGATGAGGTCCCGTTGCCCCGAGTCGAGTCTTCTGACCCCGCCCGGTTTAGAGTCGTGCGACGGAGGGTGACGGCGATCATGATATAGAGGACGGTGATAAGCGTCATCGGGATGATGAAGAAGAGAAAGGAAGACACTTGAAACATGATCCCCATCCGCGCCTGCCATGGCGGAGGGATATTACACGACAAAGAATCAGGGATCGGTGTGTTGGTCCCAGGATAATTTACATAATAGAATATCCTCGTGTGGATTGGATACGGAATAGCACAGAGTAAAGAAAATATCCAGATGCCGATAATAATCTTGATAGTGAGTCCCAAGTCTGTCATCTTGTGCGATTTCAATGGATGACATATAGCGACGTATCGTTCCACTGTGAAAGCAGTGATGGTTAGAACCGATGCATATGACGTCACTTCCGACAACATCGCCTTGAATATACAAAACTCCTTTCCAAATCTCCATGGATAGGCCTCCCATATTGTATACGCTTCCTGCGGCAATCCTGAAATAGATATTTTCAAAGTTAGATGCAAGGCTACAATAGACTGCTTAACTATTTTATACAACTTCACAATTGACGATATATGACATATTACGTTGCCTGTAGTACACATGTATTAAAAGGGTAATCGGGTGCCTCAATAAGACATTTCCTCCCTCCACAAGTGGTAGCCACCACTCAGTGTATCACACACAGACATAGGTATCATGTGATCTATAACTATTCTGAACCCGTCCAATTTAATAGCAGCGACTAGACAAAGGTGACGTCACGATGGTAAGATCAGTCTACGCTCCATGACGTCACGATGGTAATATCATTCTACTCTCCATCTATATATACTGACCAGAATATTTACGGCATTGTAATCGGAGGTCAGAATGAAAGGTCAACATCTGACATAACATTTGACACGTTCTTTATTTGTTATACACATGTATAGAATTTTGGTCACGACCTGAGGAGAAAAACAACTTCTCTTTAACTGCTTGTTATTATGTTGGCTGAGTACCATTGTGTCCGTGGAATACTTCTTCGAGTTTTTTTTTTGTTTTTGTTTTTTTTTTTTAATTATTAAATATTGAAAAGTGAAAATTTTACTAAATATTGAAGTAAATTAACCTCTTCATCTTCTTTTTTCACATTTAGTTTGACCGATTTAATAATTTCTCAGTCGCCTCTTTGGCCTCATTACAATCTTCAGCAGTTGTATGATGCAGATTAATTAATGACCAGTTCCACAGTATCTTTTCTGTCTTTCGATCTTATTACGAGTATTTGTATTTGAAAGGTTCTGTTCACATGTGTGTCTTCTTTACAATTTCTTTACAAAACAATATCAAGCTGCCGATAGGAAGCAATTTCTGCATCCGAGATAGTGGCGCTGCTCACATTTAAACGACGTATGCTATTGTGATGGTGCTATTTCTATCTCGTGTACAAAATCAGATATGTGATATTAAATACATTAATGAAAGCAGTTCTGAGTGTAAAACGGGACCGTTTGGAATGACACAGTCTTCAAAGGAAGCACTTAGCGTCAACGTATCAAAACGATTAAAAAAGAGAGATTTTATGTGTTTTTAAAAATTCAGTTCGCCTACTTCACGTGACAAAAAACAAGTTTGAATATTCTTTGTGGTGTCACAAATGGACCCTAAAATGAACCTTACCACGTGTGTAAATAGAAACGCCTTTTTTATTTCTTTATTTTCAAAGTAAAATTAACATCATGCTTTTTCACTTTCCAAATGACAAACGGAACTAAAAGCGATAAATGAATGTGAAGTACTCGTTACCCTGAATGTAAGAACATTTAGGAAATAGTTTGGAACGAATTTGAAAGAAATAATTATATAAACAGCTTATATTACAGTGTGATCTACAGGTAATATGGTGCAAATTTATAATAAAATTAATTTGGAAAGGAGTAAAAGGGAATTATGCAAATAAACGATAAAGCAGGGAGAGAGTAAAATGAATTAAAGAAATTTTCAATACACAAAACACCAACATGATAGTGTGCTATAGTGTGTACGTAACGTCAGCACACGTGGTAAAAAATGTTCAACAGCGTCTACACACCAGGCTGAAATTGTACTTGGATGTCAAGATACAGAGAGAAAATTGTTCAACAACGTCAACACACCAGGCTGAAATTGTACTAGGTTGTCAAGATACAGAGGGAAAATTGTTCAACAGCGTCTACACACCAGGCTGAAATTGTACTAGGATGTCAAGATACAGAGAAAAAATTGTTCAACAGCGTCTACACACCAGGCTGAAATTGTACTAGGATGTCAAGATACAGAGAGAAAATTGTTCAACAGCGTCTACACACCAGGCTGAAATTGTACTAGGATGTCAAGATACAGAGAGAAAATTGTACTATACCGTCAACACACAAGAACGAAATTGTACTAGGATGTCAAGATACAGAGAGAAAATTGTTCAACAACGTCTACACACCAGGCTGAAATTGTACTAGGATGTCAAGATACAGAGAAAAAATTGTTCAACAACGTCAACATACCAGGCTGAAATTGTACTAGGATGTCAAGATAAAGAGAGAAAATTGTACTATACCGTCAACACACAAGAACGAAATTGTACTAGGATGTCAAGATACAGAGAAAATTGTTCAACAGCGTCTACATACCAGGCTGAAATTGTACTAGGATGTCAAGATACAGAGAGAAAATTGTACTATACCGTCAACACACAAAAACGAAATTGTACTGGGATGTCAAGATACAGAGAGAAAATTGTTCAACAACGTCAACATACCAGGCTGAAATTGTACTAGGATGTCAAGATAAAGAGAGAAAATTGTACTATACCGTCAACACACAAGAACGAAATTGTACTAAGGTGTCAAGATACAGAGAAAATTGTTCAACAGCGTCTACATACCAGGCTGAAATTGTACTAGGATGTCAAGATACAGAGAGAAAATTGTACTATACCGTCAACACACAAAAACGAAATTGTACTGGGATGTCAAGATACAGAGAGAAAATTGTACAACAGTGTCAACATACCAGGCTGAAATTGTACTAGGATGTCAAGATACAGAGAGAAAATTGTACTGTACCGTCAACACACAAGAACGATATTGTACTAGGATGTCAAGATACAGAGAGAAAATTGTACTGTACCGTCAACACACAAGAACGATATTGTACTAGGATGTCAAGATACAGAGAGAAAATTGTACAACAGTGTCAACATACCAGGCTGAAATTGTACTAGGATGTCAAGATACAGAGAGAAAATTGTACTGTACCGTCAACACACAAGAACGATATTGTACTAGGATGTCAAGATACAGAGAGAAAATTGTTCAACAGCGTCTACACACCAGGCTGAAATTGTAATAGGATGTCAAGATAAAGAGAGAAAATTGTACTATACCGTCAACACACAAGAACGAAATTGCGTTATATTCACATTCATTACGGCTGAAAGCATTGGCGAAAATAGCATTCTTTTTGTGATAACATTAACCTTATCACTAGGTAGTGCTGGACAATAAAGGGAAAAAACTGTCAAATGCTATTGGTTCTCCTGAACTAGTGACGAAGGAAAATGACTATCAAACTGGGGACAAAATTGTAACGACTACCACGACCAAAATGTCACATGGTTTAAAGAAATGGTTATTGCAATGCTCTGTATGACAACGGGAGTTTCTCTGTCATCTGAACCTATCAAAATAACTGACTCTCAGGTGGACAAGATTAATGAATCTTGATGTCCAGAAACACACTATTGTTATAAACTCATGAATGCTAAAAAGATAATCAAACAAATCGTTAATTTTATAGCCTCAACCTAGAGAGTTAAAACAAACATGTATTTTGGCAATGTACTGCTCACAAGTTAAGTTTAAACTGCCAACACACAAAGACAAAACAAATCACTTGTAGCGTCAAAAAACAAGGATTCATAGCACACTGGAGTCAACGTCACGATGGAACTGAAATGTAGCGTGTCAACACAAGGATTCATAGCACTTTAGAGTCATTGTCAAGATTTAAGCCACAGCAACACAGCAAAGTGAGGGCAATGACACTTAACAGGAACCGTAGCAAAATATACATACTGACAAAAAACAAAAACAAAAAACCGAAATACCCCACACATATACCGATGGACGGTCTATGATCTTCAGTGATACAGAACCAATTTTCATCTTTATTGATCATAAAATATAATGAAGGGAGATTATATTTTAGTTCCACGAAATTTTGTTAGATTTCCTTAATTAAGAGTGGGATAGACAAACTGAGTGGTTAAATATGTATATATATAACTCTAACGTCATATCTTACAACCGATCTCAGCGGACGTATAGTACAGGACATGTTTACGGTATGTCGTGCAACGTAAACATTACATGCAGATTTTTACAAGATTGGAACATTTTTAGAGCTTGGTCGGGGTAGATTTAACGTTATCTGATGGCTGACATTACGCAGCATAGTTAATAATGTATGTTATTGTGTAATACCTATCACGGGTGGTAGAAGGGAGGAAAGATAGACGGCAATATAAGAATTAATACTACTGGCATGCTCATGATTTATGATGATTTAAAGTTGTTTTATTTGAAAAGGGTAATTCAACGGAATGACGTGACGTCATCTCGCTGTGTCAGATATTTGATATAGAGTTATCAGAGAGACCTACTGGTTTCGATTGCGGCTTACATTGCAGAATGGTGCATGCAAATGTAGCCTTCCGTTATGAGTTCATTGTAGAGGAAAATTTGAATACATCGGGCGTTATTAACGTTGAACAGCGGACAAGAGATATTTGAGGATTTATCTTTAGAATCTGTGTGGCGTAAAATGAATGTAATGACTCTCCATTTAGATAATGTTGGCCGTCAGATTGCAGTTTTATAGCACAGTTTCAGAACGTCTCTCGGGAACAGCGCCCACTTGAAGCTTCAAACGCTGACCTTCAGATGACCGTTTAGACATTTGAAATAGGCGTTGGTTGTTCAGAACTATTCCCTCATTTGGAAACACACGTCATACAGTCTGACTTCAATCAAATCTTACGAAAAACAAAATGGGTTTCAGAACATCTGGTTTCCTTCAAATAGATTTCTCGTAGTCACTTCAACCTTGATTTTTAACTTTTAATTTTAATTCAGAAGAAATCATCTCAATATTGAAATGAGTGCTAGATTGAAATAGCATGCAAATAAACAAGCAACTGGACAAAGAAATGCTAGGATTTGTTAAAAACAGATTCTGTAGAACTATCACAATGTCACACACCTACAAACTTGCTCGCTAAAAGATTTTATACTATCTATGATTGTTATGATTGCTCTGGATGGTTAGGTGACAGCTCTCCAGGTGGTCAGGCAATGTACCGTGTCGTATCGTATTAATCCTTCTGATATTTCAGACTCTTTAGAATTTGACGGAATTCATTAGTGAGCTGTAAAAGCTATTAACCCGGATCAAATATACATACTTAGTACA